ACTAAAGGATGTTGTTAGGCTCCTAAAAATACAGAGAAATAAGCATTATACTTTTCTTTACATACAGATCTTTCAATATTTCTTGTTTGTTTCTGTGAAGAGTGTTTTGGGCACATACTTAGCTGGAACTACTACACATTTTATTACCATTAATATTTTTTTTCCTTCCTCTTCCGATTCCAAAAAATTGTTAATTCAACATATATAGAGGTAATTTTACATGTGAAAATACAAGTACCGGGGGGAAATTATATAAGCTGAGTGCAGAAACTAAACCCAACTTTTCAGGACAAGTTTAATTCCCATACAATTTGAGATACAGATCGGGCTTTTTTTTAAAAATGTACACAGGGAGAAAAAAGTTTTTTATTTATTTAAACAATAACTTATGCCCTGCCTTAAACTACATTTAAAAATACAATATTTCTATCGTATTTTGATTTTACAGAACAAGGGGTGGGGAGAGTTAAACCTAACAGTTAAACTAGGACCTATGATAGAGGCAGTGAGGGGGGAGGCAGTGCTCCTCCCCTTCCCTGGACCTCTACAAAAGACTATTCAGAGTTTTAGACAGAGACAGATGTTGTGGGTTGCTGGGGGGTCACTGTTTTGTCTGCAGACCAAAGCATATCCCACTGGCCAGGCATCAGAAACCGAGAAGGAGAAACCAAGACCAGGTGGACAAAAACGCGAAGTCAGGCTTAGAACGTTGGCTGCTGAGTCACAAAAGTCAAGGAGGAAAGATCCGGACAAGCGATTAAGAACAAAAAAGAATTCCCCGGTGGGGTTCCTTTAGCGAATGTAAAAATAAAAATTAAAAATGCACGTTAAGTTAGCCGATAGCAGAGCCTTGGCAGCCTTGAAATGTTTGCCATTTCAACCACAGGAGCAGCTGGATTTAGTGTGTGTGTGTGTTTTGAAATGAAGGTCAAGGGGCGCAAAATGTTTGCCGCTTGTCTCCCGCTTAAAATAATCACAGAACAGCAAAGCCCAGCAATCCTCTCCAAGGGGGGGGGGAAGGGGTACAGCGGGGTAACCTTTGGCACCAAAAGTGTGGCCTTCCAAAGCAGATCCCGGCAAGTTTCCACGAAAACCCTCCATTTAGGGCAGGTGAACAGTTCAGAGCAACCTTCCCCGGCCCAGCGCCCTCTGGGGGTTTTTGAGCAGGAGCTCCCATCAGCCCCCTGCCAGCCCGGCCAATTGGCACAGAGGTTGCAATCCAGAGAGCGACAGGCTTGGGAAGCAAGAAGAGGCATGGGACAGTATTTTGCAGCCTTGCGCAGGATGCTGTCAGAGAAAGCTGGATTTACCAAGACTGCGACTGAAAACGCCCCTACGGACTCCCAATCCTTTCGCGACTGCTCCTCTCTGCCCGTATGACAGCCCAAGCACGCATGTAGTCTCAAATGCAGAAAAAGCTGGGAATATTTGCGTAGGCGTGGCATGACGCTGGACACCAAAGTGGGGCACGAGTGCGTGCAAAGGAATGGCACAGCTTAGGGAAAATAGGGGTGTCGGATCTCTAGTCTTTTAGCAAGTTACCAGTCAAAAAAACAAACCCCAAACCCGTCCCTTGTAACCAAAGAGACTTACACAGGTAGTTTGAGTAGGAACTAGATATCACTTATCTCAAAAGGAGAAATGGCAACAGGTGAAGCACTTTGCTGGGTAGATCTGCAGGGGCCGCCTGGTCTGACGTTTTAAAAAATGGCCTCTTGGTTCTGCAGTCTACATGCCTTCCAGCGGGCTGCGCCACCAACCTCGCTTCTCCAGCAGACTTTTAAGACGGCCTCGTGGATTGTGGAATGGTAAATCCTTTGGGGGAAGCCACCACCGCCCGAAAAGAACGACGGGCATTTTCTCCCTTCTACACGACGCATTCTGAGGAAGGGGCAGGATCGGGGGGGAAAGCACAATTCTTCTTACTGTCCACCTTTCCCCTTTTGAGAGCAGCAACTGAGGGTGGAATCACAAGGCCAGATCAACAAGGGTAGAGCGCCAACCAGCACACTGCAACCCTTTGTGCCTGCCCCGTCCGCTTCAATTCTGTGTGTGCTGCTGTCCTCACAAAACAACAGCATGTGGGTTATCCTCCTGCAGCAGCAAGCAATAACGAGGCCGTATCGGAAGTTTCAAGGTGCAGCAAACTGATGGGGTTTGAGGCGGGTTAAGCCACCATTCATTGATCAAGATAGCAAGGAAGAGCACCCTGGATCTAAACAGCTGTTAATTAGAGGTCCTTCAGACAGAGGTGTTTGGCATTAGACCCTAAGAGAAGGCACAGGAAAACACACGGCATATGCAGCAGGAATCACCAACCTGTCCCTGGTAGAAAGCCTACATTATTAGTCAACGCTCACCCAGCCCGAGACCACAGCAAAACACGGCGGAAGCAAGGTGGAAGGTTGGAGGGGATCTTCCCCAGCCCTTTAGGGTTATGCATGCATAAAGGATGGCAAAATAGTCTGCTTTCCTTTTAACAGTCTAAACAAACCAAAAAGTGTTTGTTATTTACACAAAAGCTTCATTAACGCATGAGAATTATTTTTTTTTAAAAAAAAAAACTTGTAAGGAATGCTCGCAAGGGATGCTTTCAAGCACACAATCCTGACATAAGATACAAATTTTAAATGTGGTTCTAAAATAAGGAGTACATAATTCAGCTTATTTATAGGAGGGAGACAGTTTGCTGAAGATTGGGCTCTGTATGCCGGAAAGAGGCGGGATAAAGGTGGAGGGGTTGTGGTTTTTAAAATTTTTTGGGGGGAGAACTGAGGTTTCTCTCCCCATCCTACTGAAATTAACACAAACATCCTTGAAATGCTAAAACTAGCAATAAACCACAGGTTCTGCTTTAAAGTGCGAAGAGACAGAAAGGGGGGCATCGGGGATTGCTCCCTTGTGTCCTCCCAGGGGTACCGTGGAAACTCCAGTTAAAACTGCCCTGTTACTAAGTAGATTCCTCCGTCTCCCCCACCCCACAAATACGCGCACGCACACACACACACACACACACACACACACTCACTCACTCTACAGGACAGTTTACCAGGCACTGCTGATGTACAGCCACCATTCTTCTCAATGGTGCCTGCACAGGAAATATTGATTGGTTATCCCTAGTGGTTTCACTTCTTGCCTCTTCCCTGCACAACGCCCCCCCCCCCGCAACGATGCAAGGAAAGAAGCCGAGGTCACACAGTAGCAAAGCCGGGGGGCACTGCATGCCCAAGATGCACCCCGGCTAGGAAAAGACCACAGGTTTAAGGGTTGATATGAGCATACCGTGGCTCCAGGTGTGGGAAAAGGACAAGGGGACGTGCACGGAGACAGGATGCACCAAACAGCAGAGCCAGGGCAGAGAGACACACACACACACCGCATGGAGAGAGGCAGGGAGGGGACGGGGGCAGAAGCAGCTCGTTGACAGCCTACAGTGACGGTCCAGGCTCCAGGCACGGCGATAGTGATCCGTGGCCATTTTCAGGGATGCTGGAAAGGCAGCTAATTCTAGTGGTTTAAGGCTGCGCCTGAAGGTTTCAAGAACCTGCCGTCAGATTTATCCTACCATCCCATGGCACGGTCACTCCTCAAGCTACCTTTATAATGGCAGCAAACCGCAGAAATTAGTGAACCGAACCCGCAAGGAGTGACTGGACCAGCCACTCCAGGAGACCGCAGTGTGGGGCTTCCTTCTGTTAGCCTGCCTCCTCTGACTCTGGGTTTGGAGAGGGGGGGGTGAAATTCACTTGCATTTCCCTCCACTTCATTCCTGCATCAGCTTTTATCCTTTAAAATGTTTCCACCAGCAACCTTTGTTTTTTAAAAAAGCCACTGTCCTATAGCCGCACCACTGGCTCCCAACCCCATACGGCCCACATACACTCGCGCACGAAGATTAACAACAGTGTTTCTGTCAACATAGTGTTCTAGAGGAATTAAATCCCAAGTCAGACAGCAAATCATCGTTTGTGTTTGCAAAAGACACACACACACGCACACATGCCCTTGCCTCACACTCTCCCTTCAATTAAGTGCAAACACCAATATTTTGCGTGAGGCGGAAAGTGTGGGTGTGTTTGTAGTGTGAGAGATATGTTAATGATTTGTCAAATAAAGACAGCAGAACCAGCCAGACCAAACCTGGACTGCCCTCACCCCCCCACCCTGCCAGGGAGCCTCTGCCACACACAAATTCCCTGCTCAAGTAAAAAGGAGCCATTGTCCCAAACTACTACTTTGCCAGATTAAAAACAACCCAACCAGCGGATGGTGGCGATGTTTTCATTTCTTCTAATGTTCCTCGCCATTTGTTTGTTTTCAAGGTTAGTTCCTTCCCCCTTTACGATTGGCCGACACTTAAAAGTCAGGAGAAATTTACATTCCACCTTTGCCAAAACATAAAAAGCCTCTCTTTTCAGATGTGTTGGTCCAGACCTTCTGAGCAGCTATGCTGGGACGGTGAGAGTTGGTCTAAGGTCAAACGGTGGTCTCCCCAAAATAGGCGAGGAGGTGCCCAGCGGGGCAGAACAGGCCCTTGGTTGCAGATCGTGGAATGTGTTTGGGGGGTAGGGGCTCCACATCTCGCCAGGCTGTAGCAGGTCTTCTCTGTCTGTGTACAGGAGAAATCCCCAAACACTCGTCCAAAGCCACCCCCCCAGCTGATCGCGGCAGTGTTCGCGTGAGTTCTACGGGTTTGCTCCGGTCGGAACTGATCAGATCCAGCATTCAAAGAGAGGTCCAGACTCCTCCTGCTCAAAGGAATGTCCGACGTCATCCTTGACGCAGCAGGCCCTTCCGTGCCAGGCACTGAGGCAGAACCAAGGCGTCGCATGTGTCCAATACTCCAGCTCGCCCCTGAAGTTTGCCCAGCTGAAGTTTGCAACCAAGGGGCAGGGGAGGGGGAGGGGGGAGGGCGACAGATGACGGAGTTGAGTTTCCAGTCTCTGTTCCGCGTGGGAGAACCGGAGGAGACCTCGATGTCCTCTTGTGCCCAGGGTTCACAGTGTGTGCTGCTCAGCCTGAAGCTGTGGGGCGAGAAGGGGCTGGAGGGGAGACTGCGGCGAGGGGGGAGGAGGAGTCTGTGGAGGGGACGGCTGGGCCATCACAGGTGCGGAGGACAGGAAAGGCGTGCTGGCAGGAATGGCGGAGGGAGAGCTGGGCATGGCCCCAGGAGGCTCAATGATGGGCCGATTGTAGAAAAAGAAAGGGCATTGATGGATGAAGAGTTCTATGATTGTCTGATAAATACGAGTAGCAGTGAGAGCATCCATGGTGCTGAAGTCGGGCCTCATCAAGGTGGGCCAGAAGCAGATGGAGAGGTTTTCGCTCGTCATCAGGTTGGTTTTGTTGTTGTGGCTTACTCTGGAAAGACACGGGAGACACCAACGCACAAGGTTAGCAAGGCCTGCTCAAAACCACAGGGGAGCTGTGGGCTACGGGGCAAAGCGGAAGGTACACTCTACGCTTCCTGAAGCAGGGACAGAAGGGTCTAGGCGGCAGCTGCGCACATCAGGGACTAAGTTATGGGGCAGGCTAACTCTCGACCCAGCCTGCTGCTGTAGGACAACTGCCTTCCCGGCTGCATGGGTGGCTCCTGGTATCTCAGTTATGCTCTTATATTACCGCACATATGTAGGAAGGTAAGGAAACACAGCAGCAAGGATTGTGGTGCTGGTAGTGACCAGGAACAGGAGGGAGAGTTATTGGAGCAATGCAGGGGCAGGGGGAGAGATGAGACAACATTGGTTGAAGGTGACAGGTAGATTTGCTGCAGCTGGCAAACGTAAGAGGGTCCTAAACATTAATTACTTTTTACTCATGCCAGTCAGAAAGGTTTTTAAAAATGGCAATGAGATTATTTTGCCTCCTTTCTTTTAAGAGTAGAACAGGGCTGACTACAAAATCACTCCAGAACTGAAACACACTCAGATTAAAACAGGACTCCAAAGATACACTCAAAACTATACAAGAAGAGCGGAAAACCTCAAAATCCTTTAGTCATCTTGTTTTCCCCGAACTAGCGAGCTCTCAAGAGCGCTGCCAAGAATGCACCTTCAAGTGTTATAGGGCCACGACGATCTGTATCAGTGGCTGTGAGAACCGAACCAAAGGGTTGGTGGTGATTTGGGCTCATTAACTGGGACTCTTAAGAGCGCAGCCTTGTGAATATGACCTCTGAAAAGCAGCAAATGCCCCCTGGCCATGGCTAATGAAACTGGGGAGACAGCAGGCCTAATACAAGCTCTGCCAGAGCACGGCTGCCAATTTCTGGAGGAGCAGGATTTACCAAACTTAATGAGACCCCTGATAAATGGAGGCTTGCTTAATTGGGAGAAACGTCAGGGAACAGATTCACTTCAGGCAGGCTCCACTGCCCCATTGTGGCTGTGAAATGACCCAACGTTAGCTTTACACAGCTTCAGAGCTTGTTAAGAAACCAACAGCTAAAACTAAGGTGAGATCCGCCCCCCCTCCCCCTTGCATCTCAGAGGGACAGAAAAAACATGCGTTGAACATACTTGCTCAAGTGAGAGATAACGTATTTGAAGACCTCATAGTTCTCCTTGGGAAATTTCTTCAGCACCTCTTTAAGTGCATGCAACTTCTGCTCTCTGTCATTGATCTCTGTTTAAAGGGGAAACAGACCAGAATTCACAATTTTACAAGGTGCAAACAGGCATTCATGATCTCCAACTACCCAAGTGCAAACTCAAAAGGCCTGCAACTGATGTTTAAGGAGTAAATGCAGGAACACAAATCCCACAAGCCCAACCACCACCAACGACACTCAACAGTCCATCAAACCCAAAGAGCACAGAAGGATTCATGGTAGAGGATCACAGCTGATTTGCAGGTCATTAAAATAATTTCTTTTTATTTTACCATGACAGGTACCAGACCACATTCAATTATGCCAAGTTGCATTTCTTCTGCAACAGTCTCCATTTTCAATTGTTATCTTCATATTAAGTTTGAACCAAGTTATTCATATTTGGGGCTGATAACTGCTGGGGAGTTAAAATACAATGAAACTGAGGTTCCTTTTCCTTGCCTCAGTTTATAACCAGCTTTATTAAACCACAAAGGCTAGAACCTTACATTTTTTTTTAAAAAAGAAAGAAGTTAAAGATGAGATAATCAGGGTATTAACCAAGGCCCACAGGGCTATTACTCATTCCTATTCTAAAGAGAGACTCTTTTAACATTAAACAGTTTGACAGGTCAATCTTTTTAAATATGTTTTCTTTCAAGATCCAAATACTGGTAAGAAAATCTCTGCTTCCTGTTTGGTTTCCAATATGGAATCATAACTATGTCAATTTCCTACACAGGTAGCAAACTTTCCTACAAAGGCCTTGGTTCTCTTATGGTATGCAAGCATCACAGGGGTAAATCTAACAGCTGGGCAATTTACTTGAAAAGAGAAGATTATTACTTTTATACATGTCATAATGCCACAATAAGAAAGGGGCAAACAACATCTCTCAGAAATCCTCTGGAAATTACTTCTAAAGCAAAGGGCCCCAAACCTCACACTACTTCGACAGACTAAAGCGAGCTCAGTACAAAGTCTTCCCCAAACTCTGAACGCGTCTGAAATGGACAGAAGAAACATTTCAGACCCAAGGCAGTGTCTTAGATTTGCACCAAGCTGAGTCCTGCAGAAGTTGCTTTTCAAAGTATTTCTGTGACTCAAATGTGACTCTTTGGTCTTGTGGGGTTTTTCTGCCCCATCTTTTTTAAAAAAATAATCAGAAGAGTAGGTCTGTGTAAAACCTGATTTCACAAGAGAAATCTCTGGAGTGGGAAGCCATGAAGAATTGCCCAGCTTTTGCTTGTGTTAAATTCAAATGAGGGAAACCTCTCTAGAATGCACATACGTATTATTGGTTTACTAATCTGGTGCTGTGGCTTGCTTTGATCAATTGCTGAATTTTGCACACTTTCTGCTCATTTTGTATCATGTGGGTTTTAACTGTATTTGTTAAACTGCTTGTTTATTCCTGCATTTTTTAATTACTGTATTTGATGGTTCTACTGTGAAAACCACTCTGGGTTGGACACTTAATAGCTGAGCCAATTTGCTTCAAAGTGTGTTGTTAATTAACCGAGCATGTTCTGAAACAGAACCAAATAGGGTAGAAATATCTGTTTTTGTCACGCGGAATCATCCAGTCAGAAGGCATCCATGCCATGGAAACTTATTCATATTTTTATAGCGAAATACAGCCATAGGCCACTATTTACACCAATGAACACATCCGGCAGAGACCTGTGACACACCTGTAACCTCAGTCCATACAATGGTGTTACTGGGGAGAAGTTTCGCATTTCTCACTAGGTGTAAAAGGCTCTGTTTTAAGCGAACAAGTATCTCAATTTCTCCTCCACAAGTGCTACCACATGGGACTCTGTGCAACCAATTAATAGTTACTACCCTCTAAACTACCATCTTTTTTGCTCTATAAGACTCACTTTTTCCTTCCTAAAAAGTAAGGGGAAATGTGTGTGCGTCTTATGGAGCGAATGCAGGCTGCGCAGCTATCCCAGAAGCCAGAACAGCAAGAGGGATTGCTGCTTTCACTGCGCAGCGATCCCTCTTGCTGTTCTGGCTTCTGAGATTCAGAATATTTTTTTTCTTGTTTTCCTCCTCCAAAAACTAGGTGCGTCTTGTGGTCTGGTGCGTCTTATAGAGCGAAAAATACGGTAATTGCATCCAAAGGCCTGAAGTAAAATGTCACCCAGCAGTCATTCAGACCCACTACTCTCTTTTAACAGCTACGCTCTCTCCTTTGGGACAGCCCCATGAAGTATCAGAAGCCATCTTGCTTTAACCTTCCCCTCCCACCCCACCTCACTTTCCAAAAATATTTTGACCATGGCATCTCCTCTGCTGTAGACTGCGCAACAGGACTGTGCCAGGGCAGCTCAGCATTGCTGACCTTAACAATATTAGCAAAGGCTTATATATGTGCTAAAAGGTTTAAATAACGTACACCCTGCTATTCCCAAGCATGTTCAAAGCAGGCTACCAGATGCCCCAGCAAGCTCATTTTATCATGTTATCAAAATGTGTCAAACGGGCTTGAAAAGGCATTCGTCAGGCAGGCTATTTTGGGGGTGGGGTTAATTTTTGAAATATCCCATTCATCGCAAAGGGGCACACACAGGAGAATTTATTAAGTGGATTAGCTCCTCATTTCAGAGTTGTTGCCTTTCTGCTCTGAAGCCCTTCATGCAGTGTCTAAGATACAGCAACCACACCTCAGGTTTTAAGTCAGTGCAAACCAGGGATGTGAACCCTGTGTCCCTCCAGATGTTGTTGCACTACAACTCCCACTGTCCCTGACCACTGGCCATGCTGGCCACAGGGTCTGATGAGAGTCGGGAGTCCCAACACATCTGGAGGGCCACCCCTTGTGTAAACGGATACGTGACAAAAACCAAGCGCCAACCATTTCTTCTTAAGACTGGTAAAAAAAAGGGAGGAAATCAAGAAGGTGCTGCTTCAGGCATTCACACACACAATGGAACTCTTTCCCATGCTATTTTATTTTCTCGCTCTAGATGTCGCCATGGCAAGGCTCACATCCATTCACTAAATCCCCTTAGGGAGAAAGCATTATTTTAAAAGGCAATGTTTTAAATAGCCCTGTCAGAAATAGTGAACTACAGTTCTCGAGGAGAAAAAAATATTTGGTCAAGTTTAAAGCCGATCCACTATTCCACCACCCCCAGCATAATTTGTGCATGCAACTCAGAAAGAACCACAGCATTACACCTGATTTTGAAATAGGAACATGAAAGAGAAATTAAGTTTTTAAATAGCACACTCACTGATGGCATCAGAGTGCAGCAGTCAAGAGCGGTCCTCCAAGGATTTTGTACTCACTGCACTGGGAGGTACAGGACTCAAAGGAAATTCTGCAACTCCATCAGCCTACTTTCTTAAAATGTAGACCCAGAGTCTTTCTCTCCCTCCCCCCAATCATCTGTGATTCCCTCCTCCCTATTAAGGTGGCAGCCTACTAAGTATTGCCAATATTTTATCAACAAGAGCACCCCATAATACACCGCAGTCTAAAGAATGGAAGACTGGTGAGCAAAAAGGATGGATTAATAGGACAGCAAGAGTCTTCAGAACCATTTCCTAACATACTTGCCATAAGCACCCATGATGTTGGCAACATCACAGAAGTGAAATAAAATGGAGAAATATGGAATTAAAAGCTGCGCACATGAGTCAGCAGTTATGAACATGGGTTCCCAAACAGAAGGAATGCCAAATCTGACGCTAAGTGAGAAATGTGGAGGAAGATTAAAAGGCTCTCTAATCCGGGAAAAACAATGCTTTTCATCACCAACTGTTGCATACTCACTGTGGGCCTCCACCAGTTCATTCTGCATGTTGTAAGGTACCAAAGGGTCAGGCAGTTCTGAGAAAAAGCTCTTCATGGCTCCAGCTACGGCATTCACAGTGAAGTCCTTCTCTGCAAGGTCCAGATTGTGATCTACAAGGTGCAAATTTAATGGTTACACCTTGCGAAGTGCTGCCACGGAGGCGCACACATTTCTGAGATTTGTTACAAGTATCAGATCAATTAATTAATTAGTGAAAGAGGATGGTCCTAGGTATTTACCAAGGGAATTATGTCAACTACTGTAGTACAGCAGAGGTACATTTGTCTGTGTTCGTAGGGTGCTGGTTAGGACTTGGGACTAGTGAGACATCTAGAACTTCTAGCAACTGCATACTGAGTGCACACAAACTCAGATACCATTGTGATAGTCAATGAGGGCACACCACTTAACACTTTAGATTTGCAGCTAGCGCTTATATGACTAGGAGAATCAACACAGAGACTTGCATTTCTTCCACTGTTGTGCAGAGATCCAGAAACACAGATGTGCATAGTTCTAAGATGCTTTGCTCCATCCCACCTCAGAGAAAATGGACGAGACTTACCTTGATCAAACTGCCGCTGTAAACTCTCCATCTCAGACTTGTTTCCACTCACCCGATAGATACCTTCAGTACCCAACCCTGGAGAAAGAGAAAAAAATTGCACTGGATCAAAAAAGCGAACCTAACGGCAACATTCAACAGGGAAGAAATGTGTTGAGGAATAGAATTTTTTTGCCTCAAGAAAATAAAATTGTGCAAATGCACCCCAGGCACGTGAGGTTTCCCCCTTGCTGAAGAGTCCTGGATATGTCTAGTGCCTGGTTAGAGACCACATGTACACTTGGGTTCCATAATAGAAAAGAGGGTGGGGGATATAAACATAAGGAACAAGTCAGATGGGGTACACAACACAGCTGACTTTTATTTTCTCTCAGTACAGTAATTTGTTAAAAGGAATGTACAGCTAGAGTTCCAGAAGTAATAGAATTCTACACACAATGCAAGGTAGAAGAAAAAAGAGCTAGAATTGTGATATGGAAGTATCTCCCTTTCTACTCCTCCCTCCACACACCTAAGCAGCTCTAACATCTTATAAAGTGATGTTATGACAACCACTTTCAAGAAAAACAAGACAAATACAATGTACAGAACTCTGTGCAAGAAAATCTAAACTTCTCCCATCTATTAGGGCCTCCTGAACTCAAAGGAATTGGGAAAAGGCCCTGTGGCCCTCAGCCCAATTTTAAAAGCCTCTGCAAATGAAAAGTTCAGACTTCTGGCAAGAACCATCTGATCCTCCTGGGTAGGAAGAGGGGTGGGGGGTGACCTCACCAATTTCCTGCCCCTGCCCCTTGTACCACTGGCATGCAGCGCCTGACAATTACCCCCACAGGGAAAAAGGAGTTGCCCATTTGTTCTAAGGTACAGTGAATTCAAGTGGTTAAGAATCCAAGCTTGCCTTTGGGGAAGCCTGCCTCTCTCTCTCTCTCTCTCTCTCTCTCAACTCCAGATGTGTCCATCTCACAGGGCTGTTGAGGATCACATCAATATAAAAATCATTAAGAATTTTAAACCCTTTAACTATATAAATGCCAAGTCTTGCTTTTACAATGCAGGCTGCAGGTTGTCGCGTCATTTTTAAGGCACAAGTTACACGCCTTAATAGATATTCTTTTAAATAAGTTGTTTGCTATTTTAAATGCTGCTCGCAGCATTTCTGAACTGCAAAATAAAGCAAACTAGCATTACATCTACAAAGTAAATATAAAAAGGCCAAGGACACAAGAGGAGAAAGGTGGTCCGTCTCGCTAGAAGGATGGCCTTCTTCAGTGAAAACCGTAAGATGGGGGGGGAGAGCATGAATGTCTCAATTTAGTAATTGTTTTAATTGTCAGATTCTGAGAAGCTCGTATTTGGTGAGATAAAAGCAAAAGGCCAGGCTGAGACCCAGCCCAGGGATAGATTGATGGTAGGTGCATCTGGAGTGAAGAGGATTTATTCAGAGCACAGGTCATCAATCGCATGGCTTAAAAGCTCTTAATTGCTACAGAGGCTGTCTGTATAGGGACCTCATTTCATAGAAAGCAATTCACCTCATCAGGGAGGGAAACTGGGTTAATGGGCCAGCCCAGAGGGCTGTATAATTCCAAGCCTGGAACAAAAGAGCCACTGTGCCCATGGATGGGGAGAGGGAAAGGAGCAGCTGCCACTGCTGCCATTTGTCTTCCCACTGCCTGGAATCCAAACAAACTTGTCAATGGACAATGCAGGATAGATTAAACACGCAAAGTACCTGTTCTGCCTGCTCAGAAGCAGCCCTGACAGGCAAGGTGAGGTGGGTGCCTCAGCAGTGACATCAGAGTAGAACCATAGAATTCTGGAGTCGGAAGGGACCCCGAGGGTCATCTAGACCAACCCACTGAAATGCAGGAATTCTGCACCCACAGCTGTCCTCAGTGGGCTTGAACCACCAACACCCAGATGCACTGACCCACTGCACCACAGGAGGGTGCCATTAAGGACAGCTGAGTGGGAGATTCTGCAAAGGCAAAGTGAACTTCTAGTGGGTTGTGCCATTCAGAAATTTCCTGCCTCAGGAATGACTATCTTTGGGGCCAGTTTCACCACACCAAAATGCAACAGCGTTTCTCAAATCATTCCCCCCCCTTCCCACTTAAGCTCCTAGACTTGAGCGTGGCCACACTGCACAGCAAAGGCGCCATCAACAGGAACTCCTAGGCTCCTCCACATTCGGTTGTGCGTCCCAAGACACATCACATATTGCTGCATTACTTGCAGCTGCTTTGTGGTTCCTTGTCATTAGGACGTCTCAGAGCGCACCATTAATGCCTCTCTGCGACAAAAGGGAGCTAGTTAAGCGACAGCCCACGCTGGTTGCTGGTTCCATTTTCCTACGTGGCACCCGCCCCGCAGAAAATCAAAAGGCAAGTGTGTAAACTAGGAGGAGAAGAAAAGAGCCAGAAAGAGACATGAAGGGCTGCTTGAACACCCTAACGCAGTCATTAAGCCTCTGCAAGCTCTGCGCTCTAGTTAGCAAGCTTGACCCCAAATGCTCCCTGATGCGCCACACCGAACAAAGCTAGCCTCGTTTCTGTGGAGGGGACATGGGTGCTGCGGAATTACACGGTACATGCCTGACTGATGCGCTACACAAAGCGATCAAAACGAGACACAAGAGCAATTTTTGTCCGTAAGAGTCAGGCTATGCGAAGGTGTACATAGCAAACAAAACACACCTTGGGGCAGAAAGGTCTGCAAGATGGCTTTACAATAAACACCCAATTAATGCTGTGTCCGTCTGCCCCCCCCCCTTCCTGGAATGTTAAGAGAGATTCTCACGGAGACACAGTCGCTCTGTTTCTTCTCTCCACGATCAGTTACACACAAGCAGCAACAGCAAGACATCAATCACCCCTGAGTTGAGAGGAGAGGCATAAGCCAGAGACGGCTTACAAACCATACAGCAAACCGAGATCAACGCAAGACGATTGTAGAAGGCGCTCAACACACAGAAAGAAGCGGTGTTTAATAACAGGCTCAGTATTTCCTGCAATCCACTTCCATGTTTACGTTACAAAATCCTGTTTTACACCCACCCTGGTCACATGCAAAAAGTATGCAGGATTCATACACTAACATGTGAGCTAATATAATAGGCTTGTGTATGTGCCAAAACAAAGAAAGGAAGAACAAGCAGTGACTTTGCAGAACACAAGACACAAAGAATGCTTGGCTGCCAGGTGGATTTGAGAACATCAAACCACACCAAGCCCAACTCAAAAGTAGGTCTAGCACATGCAAGCAGTTGAAATGGCAACTGCAGCCCTTGTTCCACTCTCTAGGGACCAAAATGACACATTTCGCAGGCAATCTGTGACCCAGTTTCTCAATCTTTTCACTTTTACTTAGAAGCAGGGAAATCTGAAGGGGACCCAGTGGGGCAACAGCACCTGGGGAAAGGGTGAAATTTTGATAAGGGAAATGGCGTGGGGTTGTTAATCTTCTCCTTCCCCTAACATCCCTGCTCATTTCCACTTTGGAGCCCCATCATGCAGCTGCTTTTAAGAATGTGCCCTTTGGCTCTCACGCGTCTTTCTGCTAGTAGCGCTGCATTATTCTGAAAACAGTGCAAGTAAGCTAGGCTGCGTGAAATGGAAGATGCTCAGAACTGCTATTTACCAAACAAGAGAGGTAAGGATATTCAGTTAACTGCTAAATGCAGGGAAAAAATAGATGCTAATATTGGGTTGCATCCAGATTTAGTCCCCTTGATGTCAATGGGCCTGATTCTAAACATGACTAAGACCAGCCTTCATTTTTCATCAACTGCCTACCCCCGTCTGGGTGGAGTCAAATTATATATATTGCACAGACATACAAGTACAAATTTGTCTGAATAGGGCTAACATGTCTGCCTTATCCACTGATTCAGAGGTAAACTTTCTTCGCTAATGGCTTGTGACCTCTGATCATTCATTGTCAGTAGCCTACTGAACCAATGTTCCTATCAATTTGAGATTCAATATTCCAGTTGCAGCCAGAAGCACTTACCTTCCCACCAGGATTTTCAGAAACTCAACTGAAAATAAACATCTCCCCCCCACAGGATAGCAAAACAGTTTTGCAATTTTTGTTCAGCTATGAATAAACATAAATGTGGGGAAGATCAAATTTGTTATATGCAGAACAGGAAGAGGGTAAGAAGACTTGGAATGGTCGGAAATGTTAAAATGACACTAGGTTCATAGCTGAGAGGAAATGGACCAGGCTGGATAAGGAGTAGATGACTAGATCTTCACTTTTGTATTTTCAGTATTTTAGAACTCTACTGGCAGCAGAAACCAAAGTCTCCAGGCCCACAAAAATCCCAGGAACACATTGCTACCTGTCACAGTTGCACTTCCAGATATAACAAATATAAATACTGAAGGCACTTCAGACTAACCAGAAGGTGTAAGGGCTGAGCGCTTGCCCAAAGTCCCTCAAGGGAGACAGAATTTAAGAGGCTGAGAAAAGTATCTGTGCTTTGGGGATTTCTCTACTAGCTTGGGAAAACCTAGATACATACTGTCACCACGGATCTCTTTTTTCAAGGAGATGAGTCTTCTTAAACTATTTAACCACAACAGCAACAGATTTCTCCAAATACGAACTCCATGCTGTGTCTGTAGACTCTATAGTCATTTCCTTGCAACTATAGAAACACCTGGCATAATAAATTATAGCTAATCTCTTGAAGATTCCCCAATGTTTCCTATGCAAACCCACACAATTTATTCATCAGGGATCTCCAAGGTAAAGCTGAAATGGAATAGTCAACAGTCTTCTGTTGTGGAGGGGGCACATAAAGTGTGTTTCTTGGAACTGTGGGCTCTTTCTTTCCACTATTCTTGATCGAATAGTGAATGATACCCCAAAATCCATATTACCCAGTCTTGCTCAAGTTCTATTCCAACAAATCCAACTGCCAAGACATATAGCATGTAAGATCATGTTAGAGTAGGGGTGGGGGATGTCCGGCCAGGCCTTTCTATCTGGCCCTCAGGATTCTCCCCAGACCACACCTTCACCAGGTGCGTTCTATGCCCTCATTGAGTGCTTCTTTCTGTCCGGAGCTTGTCCTTCAACTGCAATGACTCTTTGTAGAATGAACGAAGTATGAAAAAAGAAAGAAGCCTTGCCTGTTTACAAACGTCACCAAATGAAATCATATTTTGAAGGGATTCACCACCCATGTGACTGCACTGTCATATATTTAAGAAATAACCCTCAGGCAGAGATGAAATCAGAAGGATCAGTGCATTCTTATACCCCGTGTATAATTTTATAGTTGTACGCATCACACTTACTTCTGATTTTTTCTTTTTCTTTTGACTTTGTCATCAAAAGCTCCTTATGTTGAATTCATATTACTTTGTCTTTCTATTTGGGCCGATGTTTGTTGTTTAATAAAATTTCATTAAAACAAACAAATAAATAAATAAATGAAGGCTGCTCTATGTTAACCTTCCCTAACCTGGTACCCTCTGGATCTTTTGGACTATGTCTCTCCTTATCCCTAATTTTTGCCCATGCTGGTTGGGGTTGATGGGAACTGTAGTCTCAAACATCTGGAGGTCACTAAGCTGCTCTAGGTCTCCTATCCCTCCTCCAATTCAAGCAGATTATACCCCACTCCCACCATAAAGTGTGCTTTATAAAGATGGAGGGACCACGCAGAGCACTTCCCCTACAGCACAAGCTACTGAAATTAGAATGGAAGCACTCAAGTGCCCCAGGGCAGGCGCATAAGCTCTTGGACCCATCTAGGGGGATCTTTAAGACTTCATTACATTTTAAAAAATAAATTTCATAACAGCAAAGAGCAACCAAGATTACGGCGCTTTGGATATACTGAATGCAGACTCTTGAAGATTAAGATGGCCGGATCCCCATGGATGTGCTCTATGGGGAGCTGGCTTCAGGCACTAGGCCTGTTGGCAGACCAACTCTATGTTATGAAGTCTGCAAACACAACATGAAGGCTGGCAACACTAACTCTGCCAGATGGGTATCCCATCACAGTGCCTGGAGTCAGTCAGGTTGCGTATCCACAACAGTGACCAGAGGATGAAGGACGGCTGGGAGGAGCACAAAGAGAAGAAATGCCATGGTGTAACTGTATCAGCAAAACCAGACACCTTCATCTGCCCCACCTGCAATAAAACACGTATCTCCTATATCAATCTCTACAGCCGCAGCAGGCGCTGTAACTCTCCAACGATTTGACTTATCCGCCAAAGATGCACTCTTTAATTGCCTCCTGAGTTAGGTGGATGGCAACAACAACAACCTGTTTAAATCGAAGATCCAAGGTTCTGTGGTATAACCAACAGTTGCAACTTTATCTCAAATGACAACCACAGAATAAGCTCTCCCAGCCTTCAGTGTTTCTGATGCTCTGAACTTCAAACCATTTATCTTCTGCCACACCACAGCCAAGGGTTGTCTATGCTTCATACATTCTCAGATTAGATTCAATACTGAGAAAAGGTGTCAGACAAAGAGACAATTGCCCTACACCTTGCATCCTTCACTGGGTAACTGGCAATAGAAATCTCTGTAACAAGGAAGTGTATCTTGCTGGCTGTAAGCCACTAGCTTTCACCACCACCAGACACGTTATCTATGTGGTCTGTTGTGACAGTCTTGATAGGCGCAGGCCCAAGGACCAGATGCTGCAGGTCTTCTAATTTATGGAGTCATAATGTACACAGCTAGGGAAGCGGGTGGCGCTGTGGGTTAAACCACAGAGCCTAGGGCTTGCCGATCAGAAGGTCAGCGGTTCGAATCCCCGCGATGGGGTGAGTTCCCGTTGTTCGGTCCCTGCTCCTGCCCACCTAGCAGTTTGAAAGCACACCAGTGCAAGTAGATAAATAGGTACCGCTCCGGCGGGAAGGTAAATGGCGTTTCTGTGTGCTGCTCTGGTTCGCCAGAAGCGGCTTAGTCATGCTGGCCACATGACCCGGAAGCTGTACGCCGGCTCCCTCGGCCAATAAAGCGAGATGAGCGCCGCAACCCCAGAGTCGGTCACGACTGGACCTAAGGGTCAGGGGTCCCTTTACCTTTACCTTAATGTACACAGCCAGCTGCATCATAACGTTCTTAGGTTTGGGAGGAAAGGAAGGTGGAAATCTCACGCCACACCTGGAGCATCACTTGAAGTAATTATTTCGTAGATTCTTTTGTGCCTCTTTTGATAGCAAAATGGAATGGGAAGCATGTGGAAATTGTGATTTAAGTTTGGAAATGGCATGCTAATATGCAGGAGGACAAAGAGGACTGGCACACTGGCCATTGACTGGTCATATATGGATCCCATAAAGTTAATCATGCCATTGTTTAGGTGGCAGCTCAACTATTTCATTGCAACATGGTGTCCAAGGGCACAAGTGAAGGAAGCTTGCCCCTCAGCCCTGAAGCAGCTGAGGGAAAGTCTATGAGCATGGAAAGCTTCTTCTATAAGCTGTAACTATAGGCTTCTCCAAAAGGGGACACAATTTTCTGCTTTAGATTTTGTTTATTAGTTTTGTATACCACCCTTGATCAATAAGCTCCAGAGTGGTTTACATCAATAAAAATATAAAACAAATATAATAGAATACAAACCAATTATAATAAGAATGATTCAATAACTCCAACAAAGAAAAAACAGCAGCATTGAACTGTTCACCTGTATGCTGACTTTGGTGTTTCAGGATAAATGACAAAGATAAGGGTTGTTCAGTGAAGCATCCACCTCTATAGAAACCTTACCTAGCATTGTTCAAAAGTTGAATTTTATTGTTCCATTGTAATGGTTATTTTTTTTAAATAATAATAAAAAAGCATCAATGAGTAAATCACCTGTTGATGATTAAGGTATCTTTTTTGTTGTTCTAATAAAGTTAATTAGTTTCTAGGAATAACAAAGTAGGAAGGGCTCCCAGAATAAGCCTGTGTACCCAGCAGCCAATATAAACAATAATCACTCATCCCCACACATCTTCTTAAGCAATCCCAACAAGTGTTTATTGGAGTCACAGCCAATAAATGACAGAGGGCACTTGCTGAGCATTTTATGTAACACGCAGGCCATTTTTTGGCCCCCAGGGCCCTCAAAGCAACCTACAATAAAGGAATAGAAACCAAGTCAAAGCCAAGTCAAAACCCAATCACCTCCCAACTCCCCCCTCCATTATATTGAAACAGGGAGCTCTCCTGGTATATGGAATTTATGATAGCATGGGGGGGGGGGGAACACCCTTGGAAAACACTTTCCTTGGCTCTCAGTAACTCACCAAATCTCTTGTCTTCACTCTTCATCTCTTTCCCAATGGACCAACTGTCTGTCTGCAATACCCCACACTTGTTATCCTTCCTTACTCCAAACAGAGCTCCAAATGAAGTGATATATTTTGAACCAAAACCAACCAAAACAGTGAACCTGTTGTCTTATTTGTATAATTTCAGTCACAGATTTGGGGATTCCCATAAAGGGGGGTGGGGGTGGTTCAAAAACCAAAGATTTTGGTTTTTCAGCAAGGCTTTTAAAATATATATACTGTATGTAAAAGCATACATATCCCTCATTAAAAAGATCCATGTCACGGCATCTGTTTCTGCAAAAATGCATTCCAAGTAAATTACAACAGCATGCAGATATTTTGATGGGGCTTCATGAAGCTGCCAGCTCCTTTTCAACTTTCTGGTGACAAAGACTGCTCCTGATAGTTCTGCTGATGTGTATAAATCAGCCATCAGAACTATGGTTTCTCTTGTCTCAATGTATCAAAGTACTTGGATAAAGCAAGACAAATGTCACTGGCTGGCAAAAAGCATAATTGCAAACACATAAAAAAGTAACTTCAGGAACGGTAAGAGCCACTGGGGGACGTCGTCAACTTAGTAATTCCCTATTCCCAGCCAGCTAACAAGCAGGAAAGGCTTTCCAAGCCAAACCCCATTTTGAATTTACATTTTGATGATGCTCTGATTTCACAAATGCTTTCCCCCTGCAATACTCAGCATCTAGATGCGTAACTATTATGTACAGCACAAGCCCCTCACCATCACCATCCAGGATTCAAAGCAATTCACTAGGAGCCAATAACACTAGCAATTATATTGTCTTATATGTATATTCCGCTTTTTGAGTCAAGATCGACTCCCAAAGGAGCTCATTATGTTTATATCCCACAATTCTTTGATAGGGCACAAGTCAATGTATATGGCTCTTCCCCGTAATCGCTCAATTTACTTCTCACAGCCACTTCGTTAGGCCGAGAGATATTCTGGCTCAAGGGCACCCAATGAGTTTAGTGGGCAAGCAGGGATATGGAAGTAGGTTTCTGCAGTCCAGCATTCCACAAGCCCTGCCACACTAACTCTCAAGAGCTTTACAATGAAAATCCACACAAAGCTTTTATCTACCATTCATTCACATTCTCTCTCATACACTTCATATATATAGGTTTTGACCTATAAAGCCTTAAATGGCTCAGGGCCGCAATACCTCAAGGACTGCCTTTTTCCATATGAACCTACCTGAACCCTGAGATCATCTTCTGAGACCCTCCTTCGCGTGCCTCCTCCGTGAGAGGTCCAGAGGGTGGCAACACAAGAACGGGGCCTTCTCTGCAGTGGCTCCCTGTCTGTGGAATGCTCTCCCCAGAGAAGTTCGCCTGGCGCCTTCATTATACACCTTTATGTGCCTGGCAAAAACATTCCTTTTTAACCAGGTCTTTGGGTGATCTGATTTACATCATATGCCCTTTTAAAATGTGGTTTTTTTGAGGGGGGGCTATTGGGTTGTTGTTTTTATTTTTATTAGATATTTTGTGGTTTTATATTTTGATTTTATTCTGTGAACCACACTGAGACCCCCGAATACAGGGCAGTATATAAATTCATTGAAGAAGAAGAAGAAGAAGAAGAGGAGGAGGAAAAGGATGTCTGTCTCTTGGGGCTGTGTATGGAAGTCTTCTGGCCCCTGGCAGTTCCAGGATCATCTTCCAAAGGAGATGCAGGTGGACTCAGTGGCTGGTGGAAAGCAAAGATGGCAACTCACAGACATAGCCCAACAGTTTATTGCTATCTTGTTTATAAACAGCTAGTCCTACTGTTCAAATAGGTAGTTAAACTCTTTCTTTCTTTCTTTCTTTCTCTCTCTCTCTCTCTCTCTCTCTCTCTCTCTCTCTACTTCAACCACTGAGCACTGAGCTCTCCTGTAAAAGAGCTAATTGATCCTTTACCTGGAAATATTCCTGCTAATTTTCTTCTCAAGAAATGGGATACAAACAAACATGAACAGTCCTAAAGGACCCTTTCCCCTCTCTGTCTCAGGCTAACATTAAAACCCAAGGGAAGAGATGCAGAAGGAAAAACACACACAAGATTATGCATTATTTACACACTCTGCTCATTGAACTTCAGGTCAACTAACAAATTTATGTTTCAGATGAGACTTCCTAGCCAATAGGTGTAAATTTAAAATGTGTTCTAATCAGATCAAGTATTACTTGTACACTAAAGAAAAAGCAGCTTGTAGATATTAGAAATGTGAAAGTTGAAAAATGTATAAATCACATTTGAATGGACCAGCTGCAAGACTGATATTGCACCAAGTTCGAGACATACTTGCTATTCAATCTTACCCAAATGTAGACAGTGAAGAAAACTACAAGCTACACATAAATTTGGAATTATTCAATTTCAACACTGTTTTAAATTAAAATCAACTACAGATGAGGCCACCAGTGACAATGGCCATTTTGGTGCCATTATCCGCAACATATTCATCATACTCTTATTAAACATGGTTAGGTAGAACATTTAATTGCTGGATGGTGATCACCCCTCAGCTGTGGTCAGAATCAGGAATGATGAAGCCAAGTTAATTATTACTGTGGCTTGCACACCTCGGAAATTTGGAACATTATGCTCACATTTTACATTGCCAGTTTTTAATGAAATAACTATGGGGTACTGGTGTTTAACTTAACCGTGTTTTCATCTAACACTGTTAGACAACATCTACCATTGTTGAAGTAAATCCTTTGAAATGCAATGTCCAAAAAAAATGTAAAGAGCAACCCTGAGGGATCAATCCAAGCAAATGTCTGCTTAATTGCTAAAGGCAACCAACACAGTATTTGGCTACATAACATATTTGGCTAAAATAAATTCTGGATTTTTACTGTTTCGTTTTTTGGTAAACTGCTTTCAGCTTTGTTTTTGTTTTTTTAACAACCAAGCAGTGTAAAAATTTTATGAATCAAACAAATGAACATGCTGACCTGGCATATTTCGGCTTCCTATATTTCCTAAATCATCAAGCTATCAGTTGTCAAATTGCTTCAGACAGTGATCCAAGTCCACGACAATCCCAAGTACCCATGAAGGTCCAAGGCATCTCTATGGAAATAGCATTCCTGTTGCCCCAAACATTCCAGATAATCAATGGATGCTCAAAGCATACATTTGAAGCTCACACCGTATGTCATTTCTATGTGAAATAGCAGTCAGCCCTTTTGACTGAGGCCTCTCCCCAGAGCTTGCATATGCAGAAGGCAGTTTGTGTAGGCAGTCTTTCCCATCACCTCTTCCCTGTGATGATGATGATAATAATAATAATGATAATGATAATAAAAATAATAATAATAATAATAAAAAAGACCGGGCTCAGGGCAGCTAACAACCAATAATAAAAACAAGTTGATTAAAATACAATTTAAAAGATTAAGGTACAACATTAAAACATTAGGGTGCAATCTCTTCATAGGAGGAGAAAGGAAAAAGAAAGAGGGGGAGGGAATCAAACTGATTCCAAGCCAAAGGGCCAGGTGGAACAGCTCTGTCTTACAGGCCCTGCGGAAAGAAATCAGATCCTGCAGGGCCCTGGTCTCATGAGGCAGAGCGTTCCACCAGGCCGGAAGCCAGTGTTGAGAAGGCCCTGGCTCTGGTTGAGGCTAATCTAACTTCCTTAGGGCCCGGGACCTCTAGGGTGTTGCTATTTATGGACCTTGAGGCTCTCCGTGGGGCATACCAGGAGAGGCGGTCCCGTAGGTACGAGGGTCCTAGGCCATGAAGGGCTTTAAAGGTCAAAACCAGCACCTTAAATCTGACCCTTTACTCCACTGGGAGCCAATGCAGCTGGAAAAGCACTGGGTGAATATGCTCCCATGGCAGAGACCCCGTGAGGAGCCTCGCTGCAGCATTCTGCACCCGCTGGAGTTTCCGGGACAGCATCAAGGGCAGTAGTCAAGCCTGTAATGCCTGCCTGATGCAGTTTTGTGCAGGGCTCTTCTGCCAGATTTCAGGCAATTTCCCCACTGCACTGCCGTTCCATGGAGCATAGCCTATGCTGTTCAGGAACCCCCACCCCTTGGGGGGGACATTCGGGGGGGGGCTTGGGGGGCAAAAACCTGGTTGTGCAAACTTCCTTCTGCCTATACAATGATTGGGTATAAACCATTATCTTGTTTTCTTCAACAGACTCATGTGTGATTAGCTTTGAGTTTATGTTTACTAATTTGTAATTTCACATTGAAAAATAGGAGATACAGTGGTGCCTCGCAAGATGAAATTAATCCGTTCCGCGAGTATCTTCGTCTAGCGGTTTTTTCGTCTTGCGAAGCAACCCTATTAGCGGCTTAGCGGATTAGCGCTATTAGCGGTTTAGTGGCAATTAAAGGCTTAACGGCTTAGCTGCTAAAAGGCTATTAAAGGCTTAGCGGCTTAGAAAAAGGGGGGGGAGCAAAAAAAAAATCTCAAGACTCGCAAGACATTTTCGTCTTGCGAAGCAAGCCCATAGGGAAATTCGTCCTGCAAAGTGCATTGAAAACGGAAAACCCTTTCGTCTAGCGGGTTTTCCGTCTTGCGAGGCATTCGTCTTGCAGGGCACCACTGTACACATATAGATGTACACACACATATGGGGGGGTTGGGCTGAGACTGAAAAAACAGGTTCAGACACTAGTTCTTAGTTACAACATTTAGCAGGTGATGGAGCAGAATCTAAGCCTTCTTGAGCTAAGCTAGGCTTCCTCAACCTCAGCCCTCCAGATGTTTTTGGCCTACAACTCCCATGATTCCTAGCTAGCAGGACCAGTGGTCGGGGATGATGGGAATTGTAGTCTCAAGACATCTGGAGGGCCGAGGTTGAGGAAGCCTGATCTAAGCCTTTGTTGTCTCAGTGACGGCAGTTATTGACTGGAAGGAGGAGGCTTTCTCACATAAAATTACTCACATAATCAGCAAACAACCAGAATCACGGTTGTTTGGACCACCTTGTCAGTTTCAACATGAAAAGGACCCACTTTCAAGTTCTACATGTTATAAATTAAAACTTAACAAAAAAAAAAGGAGCTAGAAGGCTTTATCCAAGAAAGGACTAGACCAAAATAATTTAGGAAAGGAAGAGTACTGGCCCAGAACAGACAAAGCAGGGTCATCTTCAAATCATAGCTCACAAAGGTGTCACCAGGAACTCCCCCCTCCCATGGTTTGCTTTAACCATGGTTTAGCATTACACCAGCTTAGGATAAACATGGCTACAGATAACAAAGACTGCTCTAAGAACCATAGCTTGCAAGCCCAATTCAAACCACTGTTTTGAGGACAATCCTGGTTAGCTTCAATTGTGTTTCTGCCAAAACCAACATAACAATAATCGAATGACAGAAGGGAGACTGTAATTTGCCTGTGAGGGGGAGAAGGGAGATGGCGCATGAGCCTACAGAATTGCAAACCACATTTTTAGTAGTCCCAAGCCATTCATTTTCTTACCCCTAGGCTTGGCACTACAAATAAGACCTATTTTTAGCTGTTTTTAATAGTTTCCCACTCTACAGGTAGAGATTGCCTTGAAATACACCTTACTGTTTTCTTTGTTTAACCCAGCCAAAATTGACCATGTTGGGTAATGGCTATTACATTAAGTAGCACTAAATGGAGCCAACAGCAAGCTTAATTCATTTCCAACACACACCAAGGAAACACTAACAGTCTGCAATATTACTTACCATTTCATCCATTTACAAGATGGGGTGGATGAAGATTAATCCTGGCTTAAGAACTAAAACAGATTCTGGCTACATTAAACTAGAGTGAGACTATAGATGCTAAATTGGCCCGGGGAAATCATTTGTCAACAGTACTGGTGGAACATCTGGACTGTATATCAGGGAAGATCAATAGTGAAGTACACGCTCTGCTTGCAGAAGATCCCCACATCTCCAATTAAAATGTCTCATACAGGGAAAACCAAAGAGGGCCGCTGCCAGATAACATGCACAATAAGTGCCCAAGTTTCCTATTTTCTGCTTTTAAATCCACTTAAAGCAAGCAATCAACTCGACTAAAACAGAACTTCTACCTATTACAAGGATCAGGTGCAACATCTGTAGGGTTTCATCAAGACTGGTTTTGAGGTGTCATGAAACTTATTACTTAACCTTTGAGCAGAGATAGGTGAGCGTCTTTCACCCACCCATCTCCTTCCCCAAAGTGAAGCACTTTGGGTTGGATCAAAGACAAGTGAAGCTGTTTCACCCAAAGTCCATTTTCCCCAACAGTTTTCCAAGCCCCTAAGAATGGAGATGCCATTCACTGATTTGTGTACAAGAGTACATCTTGGAAAAACTACCTCCAGTAGGGGACTCTTCCATCCTCAAGGATCTCATGCAGTGAGTGGGCTTTATCTCCCTCTACCACCATGGGTGTGTGGGTGTGCAGGCAGCCTTTTAATACAATCTTATTGCTATCAATGGAGAAAGGCAACCAGAAAGCCTCCTGCTCCAAGGCCTTCAATTATAGTTTGCTATTTGCCCCTGTGCTTTGAGCTATTATGGGTCTAACAATGTGGGTGGTCAGAGAAGAATCTGGGAGCTTCTAGTACTTACCTCTCCTCTGAAGTGAGCATTACACCAAGTTTCTTTTTGGACCTGAATCTGAAGGACTTCACCAGCTATCTCTAGCAGCAAGAGAACCATCAACTACTGACTTACTTCCTTTCCTAAAGTTCCTGCAGAAATCTCTTAAAGAATCCAGGCTACACATGAGCTTGCAAAGTTATCATGATGTTATAATTCAGCCTCTTCCTTGCCCATCCATTAGGCTAGTGTGATTGCTGGCCAAGGCAAGTGTTACGCAGCAGCCTGGGCACCTCTGGGCAACCTCTAGGAATATCCCAGTTTAAAAACAATCTTTCTTGGACAGCTGGAGTTAGTTATTTGAACACGGGCAAAGAAATAGCTCAATTACTCTAACCAGTTACTGCTTGAACAGACTCTTGGAATCAGAGCAATTCACAATAAATTCTGGTCAAATAGGCCCCAGACAGAAATCTCAAAACACACACTCAAATACAGAACTAATTTTCCAGCTGAAAGCCTTACACAGGTATTTAGCCTAACAAGTGGGACATTCAACAAAATGCTTCAGTGTAGAACACTCCTGTTAAGGATTTAAGACAGTCAGCCATACCATTTTCCAGTAGAGTTGGTGGCATTCCCTTCTCAGCACCCCCAGATCTTCCATCTCCCCCAACTGTTAGCATTTCATACCCATTTAGCACCCCCAATCCCTTGGGTGTTTTTATGCAAACCTCAGGTTCTGTCCTGTCGAGACCCCTCCCCATCACGTGTGGTTATTGCTACAAGGATCCACTTGAGTTCAATAAGAATATATAGGATTGCTATGACCATGAAACAATCTAATTCAAAATGGGCCTTGATAACCCTTGGACAGTGAGCCAATTATTTGTCTTCACTTGAAAGTCTTCATCTATAGCCTAAATTATGCTGTCCGGTTACTTATCTGCCTACTCGTGCACATTCTTTCAGCTGGTGGCTGTGGAAATGGAAACCATCTGCTCAGTTCCCTCCTTCCATTTCCTATCAACTGTCCAAAACCATGTTTGCAGAAGTCTGATAGTGCTATTTTTGTGACTGGGCTTTTCTGTTTGTCTTTTGCACTTTCATTATGGAAGTCACAGGGCCAATACTTCGCTGGTCTACAGCCGCGTTGCCAAACTTTGTGCCAGTGGAAGAATTTGGAATTTCGAGAAAGTCCTGTGACTGCTAGGCACAAAATGGCTTGGAGGGGGGCATGACCAAATGGTTACCACAAATAAAAGCAGAAAAAGAGGCAGGACAAAAGAAGGCTGCGGACATATCCCACCCCCTAAAACAAGCCGTCAATGTGGGAAAAGGCACCAACATCAGCCACTACCACCCTTACTCACGGCGATAAAGTTATTTACATCTCTCCTCTGTTCAGAATGGATGGAAGGGTAGGGATTCAATCCTGCCATCCAGTGCAATGTGGGCATGTTTAATGGGGCATGTTCAATGTAGGAGAGACTGAGCCAGTTCAAGTAAGAACTGAGCAAGGGGGGGGGAACCCTGTATCTGGTGCATTGTGTATTTTGGAGGGGATATTTATTGAGACCTTTTGCAAGTGTCATGGCAGGTACTAGAAGCCATGGAGCATTGGCAGCTACTGCTCTAAAGGTAGCCCAGGTCATGAAGAAGACCTCACTAAGTGGAATGGAAAGTTGCTTATCCTCAAATGCATGCTACTGTGGTAATAAATTTTAATATTCCCAGTCATTTTAGTTTTCCAAATATGAATTTTTTAAATGGTTCTTTTTTGGCCGTTTCTCTCCCTTACCATCATTCTTTAATAGGGTTTTATTATTTTATATATTGATAATCATCTTGAGTTTTTTATGCTTTTTAAAAGGCGGGATAGAAATATTTAAAACTAAAAATAAACGCCAAGTTTTAGACATATCATATAGTGCAACACACTTGTAATACACTGATTAAAGGGGTTTATAGTGTTAAGGAGTGGTGCAGTTTTTCTTTTAGGGAGGAGAGTTCAGGGGCAGACTAGCCAAGCTTAGCAAAATACTCACTCCCCAGTGAAAAAACAATTCTTGGCTCAGGATTTTTTTGACATGTGATTGTCAATACATTTACATTGATTTGGGGCATATCTGAAGACATGCCTGTTCGTCCAAGGAGAGTCTACTATTATTATTAATAATAGTTACTGTGTTTGTTTGGTTTTTTTTTTTACTGATTTTACTGCATTTATTGTGCTTTATTATTATTGTGAACTGCTTTGGTATTTCTCTCTGTAGATGAAAAGCAGCAGAGAAATGTTCTAATAAATAAAAGGCAACCGCTCAAGAGAGAGAGAAGCTGTTATGTGCAGAATGCTTTCTGCAGCAGACACAAGAAGTCAAATATGCATTCAACATTAAGTCAAATGTGCTCAGTGAAGCTTCACAGAACAAATCAGCCACACAAATTTCATCAGCGGGGGAAAAAGAAGCCCACCAAATGCTACACTGTGAGGCGCCCGCCACTATAGTGTCAGCAGTTGGCGTGAGTAGCAGGAAAAGGGCTTGCCACTGTCCTTGAAGTTGAAGGCAGTGTCAAAACACTGTTGCCTGAAGGAGGTGTAGTAGCCAGGAGAGGGAGGATTGGGGTGCTGATCAGGTGGGAAAGACCTCTGTGATTGGTCACATGGTCAGAAGAATACCAGGGAGCTCCCACCACCATACAAAGGAGACCAAGTATGGGGACATGGGGGGGTGACATTAAGAACAGAAGGGGGACCTTTGTTGTTGAATCAACTCCTGCTAGAAATTGGACAGGTTTGTTGCATTTTTTGACATCAATTGAGATCTGACTTTCCAAATATTTGTATGCTTTGTCAAACTGACTTTCATTCTTGTGTTTTGTGTAAATTCGTTTTCTGTTTTGCTGTTAGCGACTCTGCGTTTCCCTCGAGGACGAAATGTGGGATATGGGTAATAAATCTGACCCTCAAAGCGGAACCTGCCTACACATTTTCACCACCGCTACCTCATCACAAAACACTTAAAAGGGGTGCCTGGGGTTTCTAGAATGAAGTTGAGATTCCTATAATTCTTTTTAAAACCTCTTGAGAACAGCATAAAGACATTCTTAAGCTATTAGGTAATAAAGTACCTGTCCCAGCACCTTCCACAGAGCTTTCCACGTACACACAGCTGTTCAAGTATCAAACTCTGCAGCTGTGGATCTACAGGGTCCAACCAGAGCTTCACAAGCATTATATTACACTCATTCATGATGTACTGAAACAAGAACACAGTCCCCAAAATCTTAGCTACTTATGTCAAGACCAGACCCCTACTTATTCAAACTCGCCTGATGCAAGCTAAGGAAAAGCAACAGCATATAGTTGGAACCCAATAACTTGCTTCTTTCTTTCTTTCTTTCTTTCTTTCTTTCTTTCTTCTGAGAAGCAGACAGCTTCTCACAGCCATAGCAAACTGCATTAGAAATTTTGCTTCAAAATCAATAAGGTGCTTTGCCATGTGGCACAGACGACTGATGTTCAGAGACAGAAGTCGAAAGTCCTCTAGACACATGAAACTGATTGCACAGCTGTTTGGATATGGGCTCATGTGTGTTGCTGGGAAGCACCCTAAGAGATACTGAAGTTCGTGGTTAGGGGTAATACAGTGGTACCTTCGGTTGTGCAAAGGAACCGTTCCGGAGCTCGTCGGATCCCAAGGAATTCGCAACAAGAGGTGCCTGTTCTGCGCATGCGCACTGTGCGGTAAAACGCTTTTGCGCATGTGCGGTGAAACCTGAAGGATACGCAACCAGGGGTGTGCGTATCCAGAGGTACCACTGTACTCTCAAATTACTATACTGTTTTTAGAATACAGTACATGTTGATAATGTTAGCACCGTAACTGAGTACTGCAGATAAACAGAGAAAGGGATGCTGGTTTAGAAAAAGCAGGAATTGCCAAGCAGCATAAAATTATTCTTCAATGCAGTCTTCTGGCATTCAAAACTTAAGGCAGCACCAAGTCTGTGTGTATGAACCAAATGGCCCACACTAATTCAGTCCAAATCTTTTGATGCAACATTCTGAATGTGTGCTAATATATTAAAAGTAAATTTCTAAATTGTTTTCTGTATTTCAAGCAAAGTTATTACCTGCTTAGCATTTGTTACCAAGAGACGTTTTGCAAGGTTCTCTGTCTTAAGATGGGTGGGGTACCCTTTACAGCAGAGGGCTGCATTCCCTTCCAGCGACCACATTCTCAGAGTGGGGGCACTAAGGCAAACCAGTGGAGAAGTGAGTGTAAGGTTTATCATGGTACAGCAGGCTACTTTCTATACCCACACCTCTATTCTCCATCCAGAAAAGCAAGAGGCATTAATGGTTCGCATTTGCATATAACATTATAGCTAGGTAAAAACGCTGAAGGAGAGTTTGAAGCAAGGCTGGTGATGGATGTGACCGGGGGAAAGTCCCCGGGGACAGAGGCCTGGAGGTCCACATATGACCCATACACACACACCCCGGCCTGAGGTAGAACTGAAAAAGCATCCAAATGAACCATAGGCTGCCTCATCCACAGTTTAGATGCATTCTGAACAGGAGCACATGCACAACCATCAAGTTTATAAACGTCACTTCTGACTATCTAAACCCAAGTAACAAATGAAAGTTAGTATTAAGGGTATAAAGCAAGAAGGAACATTGGACTAAGTGAGGATAGGAGACATACTTTACTTCTGTAGGAATCCAGGTTTAGATGAATGGGCGGGAAGGAAGAGAGCTTTCAACATAACTTTTCCCTCATATAGCAGGCATTCATAAATTCCCTGGAGGTGGGAGGAGAATTACAAAAACCTGTTCCAGGTCAGTTCATTTGGAAGTTTGGGGGGGGGGGGGGATTCTTCCAGACCAGAATCTGCTCAAATATGCCATGCTATTTACAAAAAAAATAAAAAAATAGATGAGGGTAATTCTGGTTCATATGGAAGCATCTTAAATACACAAGGTTTGTAGAACTGTATTTGCAGGGATGTGCAACCTACGGCCCTCCGGATGTTTCTGGACTACAACTCCCACCATCCCCGATTACTGGCTATGCTGGCTGGGCTGATGGGAGTTGTAGTACAGAAACATCTGGAGGGGTGCAATTTGTGCACCCCTTGCTTATCCAAACATAAATTCCAGTCTACAGAAAATGTTGGTTACAAATGTAAAGAAAGGAGGAAAATCTTGCAGTGACTCAGGCTAAATTTGTGACCTGTCATTCAGTTATTAAATTTCGAGGAAAACCTGTTAGTGAGAAAACAGGAAGTTAGGACTGTGATCCAATTTCAAAACCGTTGCTTCCTTGGGACCTTAGATTTTATGTCCAGCAATACTTTACCACTGGGGACCAGTAGCCATTCTTGATTACTCTCTCCATTCAGAACTTTTTCTTAGCCCTGCTACATGCCACAAGGCAGCTAACCATGTCTGAGAATAAATCAAGTTTCCCCGAGAATAAATTGGGTTCAGAGGCTTCGCTGCCAATCTGCTTTCTAAAGGTCTATCGATCTGCAGGGAGAAATGTTTTTCAAAAGAGAAACTTCCACAGGTATAGAAAATTAAAAGTGATAAATTCATGTGCTCACTCAAAAGCCTTCAGCTGTTTTACCAAATCAGTGTGGCCAAGAAAAAGGCATCTCAACTACCAATATATAAAATTTTAAAAGCCCAACTTTTCAGCCACAACAGAAAATAACAGAGGATAAAATGAGAACACACAATCTGATATAAAGCAGCCATTTATCTGCAACTTCAGGTTTTAACTTCCGCTGTGAAATGCCTGTTTCTGGTGGGAAGAGATGCTCTGTATCTTTTGCCAGTGACATCTTGATGGACTGAAGCCTGCACATTAAAATAAATGATTCTGTGTGCTGTAATGCTGCCCTAACAAGAATGCCTGCTGATGCTTCATCCCCACAAAAACTTCTAGGTTATTAGTCATGATCAAGAATATCAGCAACTTTGCTTGTAGCTTGGTGGGTTAACAAAGCAGAACTCCAACCACCGAGGAATGAACTGTTTCAACAAGTGACCACATGAAGCCACAAGCGATTGCCACTCATACCACAATGTGAAACCACAGCCAAGACCCCTCCTTATAAGGAGGAAGTGGGGGACCCAGGCTGGAAGGCTAAGGGAGCAGTTTAGTCCACACAGTAGCTAACAAGACTCTTCTCATTTTTGCTGTGATGGAGAGAGCAGATCTTTCACTTAAAAAGTATACTTTTGCAGTTTTAGCCCCAAGGTTCACAGAGCATTCATCCTAGGGGGACACACATATGCAAGGATTTCTTTTAAGGCTCCAAGATCAACTTGGAAAATAATTAAATATTAAAACAGTCCACAGATGTTATCCAATTTCACCTACCATTGCTTCCAGGTATAAAAATAATCCATATTCTGTTTGAACTTCCACAGTCAGGCACATTATGTCAATTATTGATGCAGCAAAGAGGTGAGCTGATGAGGAGCGACGTTTGGAAGACTATCACTTAGATGAGGTAGGTTTTTAAACTAGTGAATTAGGTTTAAGCCATCACTGAAAACTAGGATTCCACTGGACTCATGATACCGGTTCAATAAGCTTACGTATTATTGATATCATAATTTATGCTCCTCCAAGGAACTTAGGGCAACGTATTCATTTCTCTCCACCCACCTACCAATCTCTTTACTATAACCATTTGAAGTAGGTTAAGCAGAGAGTTCGTGACTAGCCCAAAGTCTCCCAGTGAGTTTCATGGCTGAAAAGGAAACTGAAGCTAGGCTCCCTGATGCAAACCCAACATTTTAACCGCTGTGTCATTTAGTTTAGTGGTTTTCACTCTGTGTTCTGGATAACTCTAAGGCTTCATACTGTCTTATTAGGGTTTTCTCAGGTGGAAAATCAGCAATGGTAGACAGGATTCTCTGAAAAGCAGCTTGTGCATCACTGCTGATCTTCTCTCTACAACATGTAGCTGTAGGAGAATATGAGGTGTGTTCTGGATCACATTCATGCACAATGATGGCAAAACCCCACTGGAACAAAAAGCAAGCCCAGATAATGGCCTAGAATCCCCTGCAAAAGCAAACAAATTGATCTGAAGGATTCCCTTAGTACAGTGGTTTTCAACCAGTGTGCCATGGCATCCTGGGATGCCTTGAATGATGACCAGGGGTGCCACGGGCAACACTGGCCTCTGTCCCTTCCCTCCCTCCTCCGTTGCCCTCTCACATCTCTGTCTTCCGAAGGTTTGCACAGCTGTTTGTTGCAGCAGCCCTGGCTATAAGCTCCCCAGGCAAATGCTGCCTCTGGGGCTGGTTGCCAGGAGTAAGCAGCCTCGGAGGAAGCAAGCAAGCGGGCAAGGGAGCCAGTCCGCTTGCCCTTGCTGTTGAGAATAGACAGACAAGTCCCAAGCCCCTGTGGGGCAGGGTGAGGAGGCACCTCTTCTTGGGGCATGGCGGGGGTTTAGCTCAGAGACCAGGGGCAGGAGCAGCAGCTGTCCAGAGGACTCCCAATGAGAGGGGAGAGGAGAGGAGGCTGAGCGAACACTCCACAAGGGAGGGTGTTCAAAAAAGGGTGAGAAACTGCCAGCTCTGCAGACAAGGGGTCACATAATTGGGCTTCTGAGCCCTACAGGGGTGCCGCAGAAAGAATGTAGTTGGTCAAGGGAGCCGTGGACTCAAAAAGGTTGAAAACCTCTGCCCTAGTATAAAAAAAAAAACACTGTCCTGGCAACAAAAATGAAAGTGTCTGAAGGTGTACAATTAAAAACATGCAATAGCTAATTATGTGACCAAGCAGCGAGGTTAGAATATAGGTGTGTCATCTTTCCTGCCACAAAACCCCAGGTATGTACACAACACTACCTTGGCAAGCCACATGAAAGCTTTCGTGGTGGAGGCCAATCTGGATGGCTTTGGAGTCAGCCAGAAGACAACGATTATCTTGATTGGACCATTGCATAAACTTACCCACCCACCTGCAAGTGGGTGCCCTGTTGCAGCATCAACCTAAAGCGTCTAATTTTAGAACTTCCTTTTCTTCACAGATCCTGTCTTGGTGTAGGAGGCTGGGTTGTTTGTGGCCACTGTTCTTTGTCTCACTCACACACCCATCTGAAAGATTATCCTGGCCTAACTCTCAGGATTAGAATGAGATAATAAAGTGAAGCACTATGAAATGCAATATTAAATGCTTAGTATTATTACTAGTACTTTTGAATTATGGTGCTGGAGGAGACTCTTGAGAGTCCTATGGACTGCAAGAAGATCAAACCTATCCATTCTGAAGGAAATCAGCCCTGAGTGCTCCCTGGAAGGACAGATCCTGAAGCTGAGGCTCCAGTACTTTGGCCACCTCATGAGAAGAGAAGACTCCCTGGCAAAGACCCTGATGTTGGGAAAGATGGAGGGCACAAGGAGAAGGGGACGACAGAGGACGAGATGGTGGGACAGTGTTCTCGAAGATACAAACATGAGTCTGACCAAACTGCGGGAGGCAGCGGAAGACAGGAGTGCCTGGCGTGCTCTGGTCCAGGGGGTCACGAAGAGTCGGACACGACTAAACGGCTAAACAACAACAAATTACTAGTACAGATCCATGGAGCTGGACTATGAGCCTTGTTTGCTCCCTGCTCCTGGGCTTGTCAGGATAATCCCAGGCACATAGAAGCCTGTGCTTCTTCAAATTTTATGTTGACAACAAGGAATCTGAAATATTTGTTCAGCCAAGCACAAGGGTGGTGCCAAGCAATCTGAAACTCACTTCCTCAAATAAGAAGAATTCAGGTCATTTTCTCCATACCACACTCTAATCCAGTTGTCTTTCAGCCTTGGATGAGGTTCTGATAATGCAAATTTCAAAGGTGGGTCTCTATTTCTACACAGCCAGGATTAAAAGAGAATATTGCAGCACTTGGAAGTCTGCATTGGGAGAGAGAGAACAGTGGTGGTATCCACAGGGTATTTCACCCCGCTGGGACTATACGGTAGCACTAAAAAAAAAGTGTTCTCATAGCTATTTATACAGTACTGTCTGAATACATTACCACTAAATATGTTAAAAGCAGCTGAAGGGAACAGCTTTACATGCAGAATCATCTTTCTGATCTCACAAGACACCCTCCCTTCCCCAAAATGCAGGAAGCAGTGAAGAGGTGGACTGCTGTAGTGTCTGAGGGCTAGTGTCTGATGTTGGGCCGGAATGGTCTTGGGGTGGCCAGCATTTCATGGCCATTGCAAGACCAAATGAGAATGCCTGTTACCAGCCTTGTGAGACTGGGACTTAGGAGATGCTATAAAAGGCCTTGTCCCACACCATACAGTCTCTGTTTGGAGGCTGGGTAGGAACACTTCAATGCTGTTCAAGCTGCCTGTGAATGGGCATGCTTTTCACCTTCTCTGGGTGAAAATCATGTTATGTATGGTGTAGTTCATACTTCTTCAGATTCAAAGGACCAGTGTGACAGCTGGCACATGGGACAAAAAAGAAGGGCCCAGAAATCCCTGCCTTTGTAAATAAAGAACATAAGAACTTCTCCAGGGAGGGAGAGATGTCTGTATTTGGCTAATGGGCAAAGCAACAGAGCAGGGCTGGTCCGTTGATCTGTGCAACGGGTGGACGGTACCTGCTTGCAGCTTAACTCCACTCTCTGCACTCCTGCATGAGAACTTTACTGGCTTTTAAAGTCTCAAGCACAGCACCCAAGAAGCATATAAGTGATGAGACAGCCAGGCTAGTTGCATATGTGCAGAGAGTATGAGTTCCCCAGCCCCTTTCTCTCCCCTAACTTCTACAAATATTCACAGCTGAACTTTTATATATTTAGTAATGATTGATAGGACTGAAGCTGCCTGGTACAGAGTCAGACAACTGGTCCATCCAGCTTAGTGCTGTCTACACTGTGTGGCAGTGGCTCTCCAAGGTTTCATACAAGGGACTTTCTCATCCCTACTTGACGCTGCTAGAGATTGAATGCAAGGCAGATGCTCTGCCACTGAACCATGGCCCTTTAAATCCATTATCAATCTCTTCATTTTCACCACAAAGCAGTCAGTTACACCAGCGGGACAGAAACCCACAAACATGGCAACTGCAAAGCATTTTTAGTCAATGATGAATTTAGTAGCAATATGGGTAAATCCTTCTGGTTTTTTTAAGAAATTATATTTTAGCTTAGGACATGTTTCCTAAGTTTTCTTTGTGACTGCTGAAGACCAGTAAGAGCACATCCTCTTAACACCGCCTAAGAACCAAGATCAACAGCATGAAAGCTTGGTAGCCTGTCCAAATTCATAGGGAAACTCCCTTCAGATGCAGATTTGTTTGCCACAGCCTTTCCTCAGCTGATTTATGAAAACGAAATGCTAGGACCTCTCTGGTTGGGTGTTGAGGTTAGGATATGGTATAATAAAGCTTACTTGTTTCACTCTAATGATGCACTGTTATCTATTCTGAGAATCCAAGACAAGGAATTATAAACCCCCCTATTTTGTTCTGTTATCTTTGGCTATTAAAGGATTCAGTCAGGCACAAGCAAAGCAGAAATGCCTCTGGCCAATTAGGAACTCCTGACTTAGTTTTTAGTATGCAAACATATTCATTATCACAATTATGCAGAAGGGAACACAGTCTACAATTCCAAACAACCACACAATTACCCCAGTGACTCTGAAAGCCTGAGAAATGGAGGAAGCAAAAAAACTAGAGATATACCCTATGTTAACAAGGGTGCTAATTCAGGACAGAAATCCCAAAGTATGTCTGGTATCTCTGATTGTGCAAACAAGCTCCAGGGCCCAAAAGAAAACATTTGGAGAACTCATGTTCCATGATTCATGCCCTTTTCCCAGGATACTCCATTCTATTCCCCACCTTTCCTCCCCACACCACCCCAATTTTATGTTTTTTCTCCAAGTCAGCCCCAACATTTTTTGTATTTCTGCAAACCTTGGGGCTCCCCCAAAATTTCCTGAGTCCTTCCTCACAATGATCCATACACTCTGAGAACCAAGTTCACTAGGCGTATATGAGATTTCCATTAATAGGTATATCAGGTCTTTGGTATAACTCATATTAGTATGAACAGTACCACAAATCAGCACTTTACTAATTTCATCTGAATCGACTTCTGGGAAGTTGGCATTGTTAAAAAACACTAAAGATGTTTATACACAGGACAGGTTTTCCACTCAGATGAATCATCTGCAGCTCAACCCTAAGGCACGAGAACTTTCAATAAAGCTGCAGTGTTCATTTCAGGTAGAGAAATCACATGGCAGATTCTTTGTGTCATGAAATCTTGAGTAAGAATAAATGTGTCTTGTAGTCAAGGCTTTCCAGTCATTGCTCTGAAGTTGCACCTAACAGGACAGGTGCATCTTGGACTCTGCCCAAGCGCTGCTCCTATCTGCAGTAACATGAGCTGTTTGCAAAGGCAAAAGGAAAGTCTATTCTCTCATTAGGATAGTAAAGAGCAGAATGCACCAATTTCACTCTGCAGTGACTTATTTCCAAGTACCCTAAAACCAAATCATAATGCTTTCGTACGTATACACTATTTCAAAGTAAAAACCAAGAACTCTCTCAAATTATTGAAAGGGGCTAAAAAATCAAATGATGGGAGTGAAAATAAATATTAGGAGTGAAATACTGCATTCACAGTATTAGTACGGGAAGCAAAATGGAGCTACCAAAACTGCACCATCAACTTCCATGATATAGGAATTTTACAGACACAGCAAGAAACTGAAGGCCCTTAAAGCTTTCTCCACTTGCTGAACTGCAAAAGGCAGCTGCTCTCTGCTTTAGCTAAAATGTTCTGATAGTACAACAGAGTAACAGCAGCCCTTCATTGTGGGAAAGGATTCACCTTGTCAGAGCCATGCTGAAGCATCAAATAGGAATACTTTACACCTGATAAATACCACTACAGGCAATTTCAAGTTACTTCTAACATTTGACCTTTTATTATGTTTTTATATTCTGCTGGAAGCCACCCAGATTGGCTGCGGAAACCCAGCCAGATGGGCGGGGTATAAAAAAATAAAATAAAATAATTATTACTACTACTGCTAAACTTTCTGGTACCTACTCAGGAGGGAGAAGTATGTTCTGATCTGGCAGCAATGAAGGCATGGGAATTTAAATATAGACGGTATAACAGGAAATAAAATAAAACAGCATGCAATTCATCTATAGACTGCTCAAGCATAAACGACATTAAGTTAAAAGCCTCCAAAGCACAGCAGGCATATCCTTCAAATACTGTTAAAACAATAAACTGTTTCACTTCTCTGCAGATGCTAATCTGTTTGTAGAACATTCCCTTTTAATTCTTTAAAACCAATACAGATAAGAGAAAATGATGTTTAGAAAGTGCTTAGTATAAATAATGTTTGGAGTTTATTTTGGTTCTTAAAAGCAATCATTTGCTGCCGCCGCCACATTTTTCTATGAAATCCATTGCGGGCTCATTTTACCCAGAATTCAATGCACAACCGAAGTGACATTTTACCAAGGATCTTCAATAAAGTTTGACCAAAGGTACACAAACTACACTGCTAAATTAAGGTACATGCAAGAGCTTTCATAGCTACTAAACTATAAGTTTCCCACCTTTGCCCACCCACCCACAAAATGCAAATGGAGCCATATACTCTTTCTGAACCAACCAAGGGGCCTTCACAGATGAGATGTGGCATTAAAATAAACTAACAACATCATCTCTTGCTACAAAGATCTTACCTGTTGCTTCAATGTATTCAATGCATCTCTCAATAAAAATGGGGATGGGCTTCTCTGGTGTCACTACAGTGGACAAAGGCACCCCGAAATAGTTGCTCTCCCATGTAGCCTTTGTGATAGATGGCCGAGGCTTAGGCTTTGGTTTCTGTAGAGAAGAATTTACCAGAGTTAATATTGTTGGAAACATACATTATAAATAATGAAGCAATGGATTTAATGAGGCTTTACCTAAATAGCCAAAAGGTCAATAATTTAAGAAACTGGGGCGATAAAAGACACAATTTAACTTGTTAGTCAAAAACAAGCTGTACTTCTGATTATACATATGCGCTCAATTTGCTATAAAGCTATGGTTGCTATTGCTACGTAAGTAGAATGTGAGTTCATACAACTATATATAATACTTTAAAAATAAAAAGGAAACATTTAAAAATAAAGCTTAGAAGGAAACATTTTTAAACTACTTGGAATGATACCACCTGCCACAGCAAATGCTACACAGTAATAAAAATAATTTGAACACCAGATACCTTTTACACCTGACTAGCAGGGAGTGAAATCGCAGCAAATACAAAATCCAACAAGGAAACTTTCTGAGCCTCCTCTTCCAAAATGCTATGGTGCAAGCTACATTTTGTTCACTTACAAAAAAATGCTGTGAAGCCAACAGGTATTTTCTTCCCACAGTGGATAAAGAACAGCAAACAAATAAGGATTGTTTCCGTCTAAAGCAGTCTTATTCTCAAGCAACAATGTGCCAAGAACAGCTAAGAGCAACAGGCAAGGAAGGCACAAAGCCTCAGGTCAAGTGACAGTGATTCACAAACTCTATCCGGGTGAGCCTTTGAGTCAAAGTGTGTGATGGCGGGGGGGGGGGGGGGGAGAGTGTGGCTCCACAGAAGTTTACTTGGAGTACCAAGGAAAAGCTTCTACTTCAAAAGCAGGAAAAACAAACCACAAGCAGCAAACAGAAAAACAGAATGGCCTGCTTAGGGAGAGATGGAAGGGCAAATGTATCTTCTCAATACGTGGTGCCTTCTAGACTCTCATCAGGTCCAGCTAGCACGGCCAATGATCAGGAACGATGGGAGTTGTAATCCAGCAACATTTAATTGGCTATTCCCTGCTAGCTAGAACCTCAGACACTAGAACAAGAGCCATCCCGCAGGTCTATGGTCCTTTCCAGGCTGCAAAATTATTTTGTTTCATTTTTCATGAGACTTTTTATCCACCCTCCATCAAATTCATTTTATCAAATAAAATTCAATTAACAGCAGAAAGACAAACGTTACTTCAAAAACTCTAGCAGTCAAAGTATTTAATTTTTAGATACTAATACTAATACTGCTGGGCTTGCAAAAGTGTTAAATGTCAGAATAATAATAATAATAAAATAATAATAATAATAATATATTATTATTATTATTATTATTATTATTATTATTATTATTTATACCCCGCCCATCTGGCTGGGTTTCCCCAGCCACTCTGGGCGGCTTCCAACAAGACACAAAAATACAATAACCTATTAAACATTAAAAGCTTCCCTAAACAGGGCTGCCTTCAGAACGTTTTAGAATCCTTGGTTAGTGGAGTACCTGAATTTCTCCCCGCCACAGTTTGCTCTTACACTCTCACTTGTGCATTCCCATTCTACCAAAAGTCTGGAAAAAGTCATAATTCCATTAAGGTATTAGATGTGGGCGGGAGGCAAGTTTCCCTATATTTTCAATTCCCATTTTTCTGCATTACACTTAAGGTACATGGTACCTAAAGTCTCAGCTGGATTCCTCATTTGTTTTCCTAGGTGGATTTCCATGGCTAATTTTCCTTTAAGACCTGTGCTCCAGAAACTGAAGCGGCTCTCTTTTCCTGTAGCTATGACCTATGGTGACACAACAGATATTACTATTACACCATTCTGCAGCAGAGATGAAAAGTAGGAAAGCAGAGTCATTCTACCGGCTTTGCTAGATCAGCAACTTTTGGCTCTTTCTGTGAACCGCGCCCCACTCAGCCAAGATGCCTTGCCAGCTGCAAAGCATCCCTGAATGGCAAGGAGCGTCCTGGTTGGTTGATATGGGGAGAGACAGTCCATGAGCTATTGTAGTCCCGAGCTGTACCGGGCTTTAAAGATCAAAACCAGCACTTTGAACTGAGCCCAAAATCTAATCCGTAGTCAACACAGTTGGGTTAAACTCCCCATGCTGAAGCCTCAATCTAAATCCCCCACTTCTAGTAAAGGAAAAAACATACAACAATGTTGGTTGATCCTGCTATGGCTGCCATGTGTAGTTTGGTCGTCAGTATTTGCATAAAACAAAACAAAACTAAACTAAAAGGAGGAGTTAGCAGCCAGAGTACTCCCTCATGAATTAGCTCTGGAATGTGCCTAATTATGCTATTGCTATTTGGGGTTCTGGGACATCACATGAAAGCCATGCAATGTCGTTTGGGTAGCCGTGATATCAATATTTTAAAATATATTGCATTATCTATCAATGTCAGGTTATCAGATAATGTTTTTTAAAAAGAGTTTTTTTTAAAAAAAATCACTTTATCTTAAAAATAGTTGTTCATAATATTCTCTCCAGATGAGGAAGTTGGCAGGAAACCCGGGGAAGATGGACGCGCTGCACTAATTGAAAAGTCACAATATGTAGTGTATGACTCAACTGCAAGGAGGTTTCCAGCTTGATAAAAAGGGCTATACAAGGGCAGGTGTTCTATTATTTTGAGCTCAAGAGAGGAGATTAACTCACTCCTAGCCAACAGCTTCCCTTGAAGACATCTGTTGAACCATGTGGCCCCAGGAAACTTCCCACCCACCCAACTCCCCTCCTCCATTGTCTATACCCCATTCCTAGCTAAAAAATGATCACTTCCTGTTTAGTCTGTTTCCATATAACTTCCTCCCTCCAGAGCTCTGGTGACAGAAGGATACGTAGAACAATACAACAACAGGGGGAGGGGTGGCAATTTATTTTCAGACACCAATGACAGAAAAGAGCTTTTCTGCCAAAGACATTAGAGAGCATATTAAGAAAATAAACCAGGTAACTGAAACTTAACAGTAAGAGCCTATGCCCTATCCTTTCCTAATGGGTACACCATTCATCACCATTCATGCTGGACAGATCACCAATTAATATGCTCCATGATGGCTATCAAGATTATACCTCAACACAGACTTCAAGGAAGGAAACCATGGCACAAAATGAACACTCAACCCTTCAAGATTAAGCGGGATTGCTTCCAAATGACTCTTAAGAACCATCTGCTTTCTGAGTTCCCTGATACCACTGAGGAACACTGGACCAAGCTAAAAACATCCATTATTGCAGCCTGTGAACAAACCATTGGATACCAAACCAAGAAACAACAGGAATGGTTTTATGAGAATGATAGTGAGATTGAACACGTTATTGACAAGAAAAGGAAGGCCTTTCAGATCTGGCAAAGATATAGAAACTGCGCCACGAAGAAAGAAACCTATGCTAATGCTAAGGCTGAGGGTCAAAGAAGAACCAGAGAACTAAAGAACGCCTGGTAGATTAAAAAAAAGCTCAAGAGATCCAGCACTTAGCAGACATTCATGATGCAAAGAGTTTCTTTAAAGCCACAATAAATGGGCCAACTAGCTATCCCAAAAAACTGACATACTTTCACACTCGCAAGACTGAACGTTTTGTCATCTGCTATACTTGAGGGCCGATTCCAAAAGCTCTCGCATGAGAAACGCCTATGCCCTTGTGGAGCCAGCAGCACCGAAACAGTGGCACATGTCCTCCAACGAGATCATCACCCCACTCGTACTGACCATCCCAGGGTGCACAACCACTGTCACAGTGTCTTTTCTCCTGGCAGACCAAACAGAGCAGATAACAGCCAAGGTTGCTAGGTTCTTAGCAGGGGCAATCAGAATTAGGACCACTATCTGACTGTTGATTCAGGACCCTAAACTGTGCTTTTATACTAAATTCCTTCAGCTTCTCCATTATATGACAGCAACAATCACAGATAACAATGGCTCTCAAAGCGAACCATTCACAATGGGATCAGGTGTTAAACAGGGTTGTGTTTTCACCCCAACTCTATTATTTTCATTGCCATGATCCTACACTTTGTCGAAGGGAAACTCCCCACCGGGGTAGAAATCATATACCACTGGGGAAATCATATACCATACTCCCCACTGGGGTAGAAATCATATATTGGACAGATGGAAAGCTCTTTGAGTAGGCTGAAAGTAAAGAGTAAGGTTACCATAACTTATGTTATAGAGCTACAATAAGCTGATGACAACATAATGTGTGCACACTCAGAGGATGACCTCCAAGCCATCCTAAATATCTTTGCAGAACCCTACAGATAGCTTGGTCTATCACTCAACATCCAAAAAAACCAAAGTGCTGCACCAACAAGCACTAAACAACCACTCAGCAGTGCCACAAGTGTCAATCACTTCTCCTCCCTGGGCTCCTCCAAAAGGGCTGGCACTGATGCCAAAATCCTGCATCGCCTGAGCTTGGTGAGTGTAGCTTTCTCCAGATTGAAAAGCAGAAGATTGGGACATTCACGGGGAAACCAAAATGCTTGTTTAAAAAGCTACTGTGCTATCAACCCTACTGTATGCTTGTGAAACATGGACCACTTATAAATGCCATATGCAACTCCTCGAAAAATTTCATCAACGATGTCTCAAAATTTTTTTTACATATCACTTGGGAAGACAGGAGAACTAATGCCAGTGTACTGGAAGGAGCAAAGACCACCAGTGTCGAAGCAATGATTCTTCGACATCAATTTCGTTGGTCATGTTGTTCGGATGTATGATTATCGTCTTCCAAAGCAACTACAGTGGTACCTCGGGTTACATACGCTTCAGGTTACAGACTCTGCTAACCCAGAAATAGTACCTCGGGTTAAGAACTTTGCTTCGGGATGAGAACAGAAATTGTTCTCCGGTGGTGCGGCGGCAGCAGGAGGCCCCATTAGCTAAAGTGGTGCTTTAGGTTAAGAACAGTTTCAGGTTAAGAACGGACCTCCGGAACAAATTAAGTACTTAACCCGAGGTACCACTGTACTCTATTCCGAACTTAAAAATGGAAAGCGTAATGCTGGTGGTCAACAAAAGATGTTTAAAGACTCACTCAAGGCAAATCTTTTAAAAATGTGGTATAAACACCGACAATTAGGAAACACTGGCCAGCGAGCGTTCCAATTGAAGAACAGCCTTTACCAGAGGTGTCACGATACTTGAACTCAGGATGAAAGGGAGTTACATGCTAAGAGGAAGGCACGTTTGGCAAACCCTCACCACAATCAACTCCCACCTGGAAACCTATGTCCCCACTGTGGAAAGATGTGTGAATCTAGAATTGGCCTCCACAGTCACTTACAGACTCACTATTAAGACTGTGTTCATGGAAGACAATCCTACTCGGTTACAAATGATTGCCAAAGAAGAAGAAGAAGACCAGCTATTAAATCTGTCATTTAATATAAACTGCCTTTTATCTCTTTTTGCATTGGGTGAGAAATAAATTAGCAGCACCTCAAACATTAGGGAATATTTACTAATATTTTTGACTTCACAGGATAAGCCACACATTTAAGTACCTAAAAACGTAAGAGCAGCCGTGCTGGATCCGACCACAGACACATCAACTCTGATTTCGTGTCAAGCATCTTCACAAATGAATATAATGTACAAAGTATGTGATGCATGAATTTATAAGGCCCCAAGATTGGGATATTTAAAAATCATATATGCTAGAGTAAAATAACAGTTGAAACATTAAGATCCATACAAACATCAGCCAAAAATGGCAATACAGCAGATGGGAGTTGTTATTTAGTCCAGTAAAGGTTAAAAGGTCAGAACCCTCATCAAGGGTAGCCTACAAACAGCACATTACAATAGTCCAATCTGGAGGTTACCAGGGCATGGATCACTGTTGCAAACTTCTCCTTCAGGAAATGCTGTAGCTTGAAATAGGCACTCCCAAGCAATGGTGGATCAAGGTGCACCTCCAAGCTATGCACCTGCTCTTTCCAGGGGAGTGCAACCCATTCCAGAACAGGTGGTATTCCTGCTTCCTGGTCTCAGGAACTTTGAAGACACAGCAGCTCCATCCTGTTTGGATTCAGTTTCAATTTGTCGGCCCACCTCCAGTTTGCCACACACTTTTTTCCTCATTCTTTCACGCTGGACATATAAAAAACTTTGTTGAGCCAGAAGTTAAGTCCCCCATGGCAGATTATGTATCAAGATTAAACGAACTCAGCCCATGCCCTTTAGGAAGCTGCCCACATTAATGCAAAGATGTACTGCCTAAAGCTACAGAAGTTCCCCCACCAGCGCAAACAAATCCAGCAGGCAATGCAAACAGGACTATATATTTGATCATGGCCTGAAGAAACAACAAAAGGAAGAAACAGCAAAAGGAAACATACCTTTTAAAAGCACCGATGATTTGCAATCAACACCTCAGCAGAAGAAAAGAAAAAAGATCTAGCGCTGAGATGAGATAGGAGAGTATAATTGTGATGACTCAAATCAGTGAAAAGCTTTCACACTGTACATCATTTTAATGATGTACAGCACAGCAGGAGGAAAGCCTAATACAAATCTCAAAGCTATGAATTCCCCCCCTGCTTCTTAAAGTAGTAAATGGGATGCAATATTAAGTGACAAAAGCATGGGGGTTCAATCAACTGGCAACATTTCTCTCTGTTCACCAACAGCATTAGTGGAAAAGTGATGGAATACCTAGCGCTCTGCAGCTATTACTTCAAGGCTGACTATAAAGTGAAACGGGCTTGGGATTCCAGCCTCATTTCCCTGGCCAAGCTGCCCAAGGGAGCAAGACACAGCTATCTAACTTGGGATGAAACCTAGACCAAATCACAGAACTAGTGCAAGGGCTCAATTAGCTATGACCTTTTCTAGCCACACACTTAACCAAAATGGAGGCATGGGCAAAAATGGCATGCAGCCACCAGAATATATGCCAAGCTCCCCCTGCTCCTGGACATTTAAGACCTGCCCACAGCTTTCTGCTTTGAGGCCCCAGACAAACAGGTTAAAATGTTAATAAAAATGCACACTACATCACAATAAAGGAAGGGGTGAAAGCTCAGTGGCAGAGCACATGCCTGGCAGAGAAAGTGTCCCACATTCAATCCCCAGCAACTTCAGGAAGGCATGTAACATCTTAGCTCCCCCAGCAGCCCCCAGGGCTGTGAAAGACAGCAGCAGCAGTAGCAGCAGCATCCACCCAGCAAGGAAGTCCTGGCCTGTGTGGGACTAACATGTAGCTTCTTCAACAGTCAGTTCCAGGCCAGGAGACTCAGTTGCAGAATGCAATTTGTTTTAACATCAGAGAACATAGGTGGCGGCTTACATACAGTACATACACCTTTGCCCTGCTGCAGTGACTACTGTGTCAATATCTATTTTATTGTGTTTCAACTATCTAGTAAGCCGCCTCAAGAGCTTCAGTTAGTAGGGAGGGCAAAAATACTGGTTTTGGCAGCCAGAAGGATCAGAAAGGAGACCCTGGACAATACAGCAGTGAACTGTAATGGAGAGGCAGAGATCTAAATAGAGACTAAAAGTTGTGCTTTTGCCTGTATTTAATTTTTATTCCAATTTGTCATGGCCAATGGCTAGTACAATGAAGTTATTTTGATTGTATTGGCATAAATAAATGGGACAGGCAGCAGGTGATGGGAAAGACCCCTGCTTGGGAACCCTGGAGAACTGCTGCCAGTCAAAAGTAGACAACACTGAGCCTAGATCAGGAATAGCTAATCTGTGCCCCCCCCCCCCCAAAAATGTTGTTGAGTACAGCTCCCATGCTGACTGGGGCTGCTGGGAGGCGGAATCCACTAGCATTTGGAGGGCCTCAGGTTAGTCACCCCTGGCCTACAGGGACCAAGAATTTGACCTTGTATGAGGCAACTTCCTAAACTTTCATAATCGCAACCAGGGACCTAACAAATGTTTCAGTCATCAAAAGGGTTAAAAGCAAGAAGTCCCTGCTGGAAATACCATCGCATCAGTGCTTGCCAGATGTCTGAGCCCGCTACCCTCAGCCAGGCATGTGTCTGTCATTAGGGAGCCATTAAAATGTTACACAGCAGCAGCAAGCAGTCCAGCGAAGAGAAAGCAACACCATTCCAGAGTTTACCTTCATTTAGCCTAGTGAATTCTTAGCTATGAAAAAACATTAAGGAGTCCTCTGCGCTACACATTTACACACATGTATGTTGGCTGGGGGGGGGGCATCACACATGCCAGATCATAGATTTCACCACCAGTATTACTGAAGCAATAAGCAGAACCATTTGAAGATCTATGACCATCCAACACGATGGAACTATTCTTCGTACTCACTACATTGTCTTTAAATGGCAGGCAGGCCTCCCAGTTCCTCTTGCATGCTTACAGCTTCTATAAAGCAGCAGGTGCGTGAACCTCAACCCAGCGTTAAAAGGATTGCAGCAAAAGGGCTGCAGAGAATGCTGTTTATTATTTATCAATATGTTAGAGACTCATTTGGAACCTGCCTTGGGACTCCTGCTTCCTGGCTCATAGCCAAGAAGAAAAGGGTGTGGAAAACAGTGCATAAAGAATACACAACATATTCGTCACACAATCAAGTATCCACCAAATGTTTAATGGGGTAGATCAGTGGTTCCCAATTGGTGGTAACCCATTGTGGCACCATTCACATAACAAAAATTACCACAGATATCAAACTTTTCAAAAGTAGGGGGTCCATGGTTTGGGTTTTGAAAAAAGCAAGGGATCTGCAGTACTTAGCTAATTGGAACCACTGAGGTTGACCACTTCACATACCCTTCTTTGTCGTAATTCTTCAAGGAGGAGCTTGGGAAAGAATTATGGATTTGACTGCACAGTAGTGGTTCACAGTAAACTATGGTTAAGGCAGAAGGTCTGACTTATTATGTATTAACATGGGCAGTGAGAACACTAGATCACTTTGTAACAATTTCAAGAAGTACTCTGAAGAGCAATTCACACAGTGAAGCTCATAACCAATACATAGATGTGACTTGCATGTCAAAGACAACTGGGAGCTGTAAACCCAGTTTAACTACCATTCTACACTGTGCAATCAGCATATTACGATGACATAATTCTAAAAAATGCAGAATGATTCCAGGAGACATTCTATTCAAAAGGACTATATTCTTAGTTTTACACATTCTAGTAGGAGGAACTATCTTCAGCAGGGTTAGAGTACAGAAAAGGAAATAAACGCCTGCTCTATGTTATAAATGTTCTTAGCTAAAATATTTTTTGGATGAAACTGAACGTCGAAGTTCTGGGTTTTCACTATCTTGACATAGATTAAGTGAGCTAAGCATCCAAATAACGCTTTCATGGTCAACTTAATGAGACTGCCAACATGACGATCAATTAGTGCCAATGGGAAGGTGTGTGCTACAAACCTGCTTCAATAATGATCTGGGCCATAGCCAATTACTTAATTTTGGAACGGTGAAATTTGGTAACATTCTTGCTGTGATCAACAGCGGAGTCCGATTGACCTACTAGACTAAGCAGTTTATAGTTCATTGTAAAAATGCAGTATCATTTTGTTGCCATTAACAGAGAAATCTAGATAAAATTAAGTTACTGTCTCTGTACACAACTGGCTTAAGACCATATGCTGAGTCAGCTACTAAACTTGCAGCCTAAGAATGCAGATAGAAAGGGGAAGAGATTTATTACTAAAAAAAACCTTTTAAAAAAATCAATGTGATTGAAAAAAGAAGAAATCTGTGATACAGGGACCTGATGGAGGCAACAGAGCATTTAAGAATCTACCTATGTAGCAGGGGCAGTGTTATGGTAAGACTTCCTAGTGCAAATATAGACAATGTTTTTTGGGGAGGGAAATGCACATACATAAAAGAGGAAAGTGTAAAGATATCAACAGAACACAGCTGAGCTGTTAAGGATGCAATGCATCACTAATAAATGTACAAAGGAATAAATTAAGCCAGAGAACAGACCAAGCTTACAATTTGAAACTTTGCCATCATCTCTACCAACATATCCCTTCCAAGAGTTTGTGAACATGTACTTACTTCAGTGATGAGGAACCTCCAGCCCACAAATGACTCATGATCATAAGGGGTCCAAGTTGGCCTACAAGGCAATTTTCCTTAAACAATCCCCACTTGTTCATCAGCTAATGTCACTGGGTGCCATTATCTGATGGGCAGGAGGGTAGTATTCAATCCTTGCTGGGAACATATTGGGCAAACCAGATCCTTGCTACCATTAAGATTGAACCCTCTGCTCAGCAACTAGTGAGCAAAGAGTTCAATCCTGCTGTTTGGCGGCATGTGTTTGTTCCCCTGCTGGAAACAGGGAAACGTAGCAAAAAGTTGTTCAGAAACAGTTTTGCAAACAGACCTGCACTGCTCTTTAAACCTCTGGTTTGCAAACCGGGACTGTTTGCAAAAGAGCTCTCAAGCAGTCCTGAGCTGCACTTTGAAGTCCCAACACTTGGGACTTCCAAGTGCAACATCACCCAACATCACTATAATAACATCAGGTGACTGACAGGTAAGCAGCCCTGCTCATCTGTAAAATTTTCCCCTTTAAGGGTAGGGAGCTAAGGATCTGGCCCATTAGCCAGAAAAGGTTCTGCACTCCTGACAGACATTTTGCCCCATTAGGACAATCTAAGATTCCAGGAAAGAAAGCTGCTGTTCCAACACACTTTAAGAAGTACAAGTAATATAATCTGCCCTGGAGCAAGCTGTACTATCTGATGAGATGTTAAGAAAATAATCTGCAGAATTTGGAGCCTAAGCTCTGCAGATTGCTCTTCGAAGACAAAAATGTACTCAGAAAATGTCTGCTAAATTTAAGTCACTTTCTAGACTGACAGTGAAAATACATGCGACACTGAGGCAGAAGATGGAGAGTCAAACTACATATGAGATGGGAGCTCTGTGAATAGATCTTTCAACATCTTTTTCTGTTATAAAAAGCAACTGTTGCTGTGTATGCTTTGGACCAGGGTCCCAGCAAAGCAAGATGGGGGAGAATTTTAAGTTAAGTACCAACTGAGGTAGAGAATTTGGAGGGAGGGAAATGCAGAACACCAGTGCTCAAAACTCGCATTGTTCTAAGTGCATTTTGTGATAGGGAATTTCATTAATGCGAGCAGTTTCTGAGCTCTGGGCGCAGTACTGTGCCTAAGATTTCAGATTAAAACTACAGAGTGGAAGGAAAGGAGGGCTTTTTTCTCCCCTCCCCCCCCCCACTTCCAGCTACTCTCTGAAGACTAGAGAAGAGACCCTCTTAAGAATATTGGGGCGGTGGGCAGGGGAAGGACTAGACCATGCGAAAAATGAACATAATATTTTAGCTGCAGTTCATTCATTTTCAGCACTGCTTGTTATAAAAAAGTGCATCTAGACATTCTGTTGCTGCGCCCAAAACCTAGGTTTAAGGTGCCATTTATTTCCTAGCTTTCGTATCTCAGTTTCTAACACTGCTTGACATGCTAGCTTTTATTATTATTATTATTAACTAAATTTGCATAACGCCATTCATCCACACATCTCAGGGCGATTCACAACACATTGAGAAGGAATAACTATTCATTTTTTTAAAAAATGAAAGTACTGTATGTCTGTACCAACCTTATTTGGTTATCAAACTTAGCATTAAACTTATTGTGATTATCACTTGCAGATCGGCATAGTTGTTAGTGTCGCTGAAGCTACAAACCACTCTGGGTGATGAGAAAGCATGTCTGTGCTGACTTCCAGGCTTTCCTAGCAGACTGGTGAGTAGGTGCTGCTGCTTAAACAAGGCTGCTTTTCAGAGCATGCAAACACTGAAGAGCCTCATGTTTTAAGACCCATGGAGAAAGTTGCCTGTTGATACCTTCCTTAGGAGCTCAAATATTAACACTCCTAACTTGAACGAATATGCTATTTAAAAAGCGAGATGCCACCAAGAGCTTGAAACTGCCAACAAGGCTTGAAATTCACAAAAGCTTTCAATTTACTGTTCTTGCATCAGCTTTTAAGCTTTGGAAGTTATGTCTGGCAGTTAACTTGTGCTCCCTCTGCTGGCTATGCAGTAGGTTAGCACCTCCCAACCCTTTCCCCTCGGCCTTTGAATGCATTCCAGTCAGAGTTTTTGGTTGTTTTCCGAGGGGTAAGCTAACACTTCTAGATATTGCTTCTACACCTTCATGAAAATGCTTAGAGGGCTGACCTCCACTCTCCTTTACACATCCAAGTCTACTCTCTCTTTACTGGGAGTTCAAATAGGTGCTGTGGTATGCACACACAGTCTACACCAGAACAGAAGAGTTAACGGCATTCATATTCTTTCTTATTAACATTTGCTTTCCTACTGGGAGATGCAGAAAACCATCATGGGATTCAGGAAGAGGAAATTAGGCTTTTAACTTTTTATATTTCCAGCTTCCACTGTATTATGCCATTACAGAATTCTGAAGCAATATATATATAAATATATTAAAAACCTGCAAGAAAAAGAAAGCTCCAAGCTACTACTGAAGCTTCCTCAAAAGGGGTTTTACCAGTTCAGTCTGCCTTTGTGTTTTTTCCCCTCTTCCAGGAACAGGGCTCTAATGCCAATGAAGAGAAGTATACCCTGCTGGCAAGAGGACAGCTGCTGCAAGTATGAAATCACCACTGTTTTGCAAAGCAGTCACGACATTGTTTAAAGAGACAAAAGTCTTTGCATAAAAGAAATGAACCTACTTCTGTTCAGTAGCTGTTTGTGTTGCAATGGAAAAAACCCAAATTAAGAAAATAACTCAGTGAAAGAAAAGTTTGAAACGAAGAGATAAATCTTACATGAAAAATAGCTTTCCACATATCCTATTTACAAGATTAAAAGCTGCTGTTTGACTGGCTTCTCTGCACATTCTGGATGGGATATTTCAAGTCATTCCATTTTAGAACAACAATGATGCTCCCAAATAGTAAGTTTAAACACAAGCTTCACACTGCATGCCAGACAAATGTTCTTCAAAATTCTCTATTCCATAAGAAGGAATCAGCTGCTACTTGTTCCCAATTTGCTTTTAGAAGCTGGACTTGAAAATGAAAAACGGAATGTAAAGGGGGAAACAATTTATAACCTTTCATTACAACACATTTTCCACCCTTATAAAGCAGACACATCTAATCTATCATCTTGATCAGGAAAGGTCATCAGAAAATATTTCCCCCCCCCAAAAAAAATGAAAGTGAAAATGCACATTTGTTTTCAGTTTCCAAACAAACCCTGGAAAGAATTTGATGGCATCCTTTACAATTTTCTCTCATATACAGACTGCTGAATAGGTAAGAGAGCTGTTCGTATTTCATACAATTTGAATGTTTGCACTCGTATTGTAACCCTGATTATCTTAGTAGAAAACCTTGAAAATTAAAATTAAAAACACGTTGAAAGTATTAAGTTACCTTTGTTGTCCTCCTCAAGCTACGTAAGATGTTTCTTTTCCTAGGATCTTCATCAGTCGTCTCATATGGAATGACAGCGTTATCTCCCTTATATCCTTGGGAAGTGTGGTCTTCTTCTTTCTTCCTAATTGGCCCCAATTCATCATCACTCCCTACACTGAAACTGGTCCTGTAACTGGCAAATCTCCCAAGCCTCGTGCATCTTGTCCGATACAACACTGGTTTACTAATGATGGACACCTTCCGGCCTCGTTCTAAGGAGCTTGTGTCCATTTCACTGTCCGACCCGTTGCCGCTGCCATTGGACTGGGTTTTGTTAATGTTACGAATGGTGATGATTTTGCCTTGGGTGCTGTCGTGAGGCACAGAGTAGATATTTTCCTCCTCGTTCCTTGGTTTGACTACTGCGTCCATGGGTTCCGCATAATCGGAAGGGTCAAAGCCATCTGTAGGTGGCCACGTGGTCGAAGACATGGACTTCCTCTGTGCATCCCGATGCCCTTGATCCAAATAGGAGAGGTCCCCCTTAATATCAAAGTGGACAGGGGGCTTTGGTTTCACTGGCGGAGGTACTTTGTTGTTCAATTTGCTTTCAAAAGTGCTCATAGCAGAAAAGACAGAAAGACCATCATTCCCCTCCAACTCCATGGAAAGTTTAGAAAGATCTTTGGACAAAGTGGGCATGGATGTGTCATCTCTGAAAGGGCTGTAGGTTGGAGGCTCAATATCTTCTTCTGAATCATGAAGGTTTGAATTACAGAGAGGCGAGCCAGCCCGGGGTGAATTGAACACTTCTTCTGTGGTGCTGCACGCTTCAGCAGCATTATCGTACATGTGGGTAGCTTCAATGATGTTTTTTCTCTCCACCACATCTTTGAAAAACAGATGAAAAATCTCTAGTTTATGCTGAGGTTGACTACAAGGTATGGTTGTAAACTTTCCCTCTATATCCTGGGCAATTTCTTCTCCCTCGGTTAACTGTTCTCTGCTTAAATCATTGTCTAGAACATCTATTGAGCCATCAGTGAGTGCCACTATCTGAACAGGGATAATGTCCTGCACTTCACAAAGAAAGGCACGTAACATAGCCAAAGATGCTTTACGTTTAGCTGAATAAAACAAAATGTAGCCATGGACCAACCAGCTTTTCCTAATGCTAAAAGAGGAATGGTATGAAAGCAAGGAGAGTTCTATACGCCTCTTGTGTGGTCCTATGGGATATTCAAGTAAGACAGAATTGCTGCTTCCACACTGGGAAGGCCTACAGGTTTGGGACTGAAGAATAGGTAGAATAATATCATCTGCATTAAAAGGATCTCCGCACAACAAGCACATGACAATCCGAAGGTCGATATCGGCCAGATCTTTAATGCTTGCTGTTGAGCTCATGAGATTTAAGTTTCGCTTTGAGTCCAGCAAGCCTTTCAGAACTTGACTGATCTGCTTTTCATTAATATTACGCCCATATCCAATGCCAGTAGAAGCAGGGTCGAGGAAGACGCATTGTAGCTTACTGGCAATCTGCTGTCCTTGCTGTATTAAACTGTGTAGTGTTTCTCCACTGGTATCTCCTCTCTTGTTGACCAGAATCAGAGTCAGAGGAAGATGAACTAAGTGGTTGTCCCTTCGGCCAAGGGTTGACTCTCTGCTCTTTTCAATACTTTCAACAACGTAAGACAGAGATTCCTTAGAGTTATAAAGGCAGAGGCAACCATGCGGCTGAAATGTTGGTGTCTGGAAAGAATTAACAGGAAGTCTGACATTACCCTCTATAGGTCTCAAGGAGAGCTCATACATCTTCCCATCTATCACATACTTGTCATCATTTGTGCAAAGAGCTCGAATCTCATTTGCTAGCTCACGTGCAAGTCCATCTTTACCAAGAATGACTAGATTGATTCTATCTATATTGGAATCTGAAAGCAAGTTTTTCTGATTGCGATCAGATGGCCTGATAAACCTAGAACTTATCAAGTGCTCGATTTTAGCATCTATGCAAGCTGGGCAGCTGGGACAGGTTTCCTTTGTTGGGTGGTAAACAAAATGAATGTGTTTCAAGATCAGGGCATCTCGCTCAGCTTGCAGCTTTTGTAGTGCTTTAAATCTCTGCTCTTCACCCAACACATCCTGGATGACACCCATTTTCTCCTTGCTTGGTTTGGCATCAAGCTCCAGTTCATAGAACAGTTCTGAGTACTCTAAAAGCAGTTCCTGAAATTCTTCCTTGGCCCTCTCTATAATTTGCTTTTGATGTCTACTGTAAATATCCATGTAGACAGACTCCTCAAGCCACATATAAAAATCCTCGTTCATGATGAAACTGCGAGCTTCTTCCCAAGGTTTTCCTGGTGTTATGAAAGGGGAAGTCTCCAAATTCTCTTTGAAAGACCTTCTCATTTCTGCCCTTTTCCTCTCGTTCCTCAACTTCTCCAAGTGGGCCTCATAGAGCTGCTGAGCAGGCAGGGTCTCCATCAGGTCAAATGGAATGCGCTCATTCTCCATGTTATCTATATGGCTGGTGGCATCCCAGGGGGTCTCTTCAAGAACAACAAACCACTTTAAGAAGTCTGGTTTTGTCTCCAGCAGCTTCTCCATTTTTATGCAGCTCAAGTGGTTTATTTCATCCAGGTCTGGAACAAGGGCATCAAAAGCAAGGGGCAACGAGGCAAGGTACATCTTCCTCCTGCGCTCTATATGTTCTTGTTTGAGGCGATGAATGTGCTGCAGGAAGAGCTTCTTGGCTTTCTGCGTCCCTTCCAGATACACATAATCCTGATACTCAGGGGAGGACTGCATCTTCCGTGAGACATTCAACCAAGTCTCATTGTGGTTTTTGACTATGCGGCTCACCAGCCACTCGTACTTATCTTTAGCAGCAGCAATCTGCTGGCTCTGCTGCTTCAAAGCCTCAAAGTAAGGGATAATTTTAGTTTTGCCCCTGCTTTTGTCGATCAGCTGCACTAAAGTGCTGAAAGCCAAATCAACGTTCACATTGGATCTGGCAGACGTCTCCACCACCTGGAGGTTCTTTTTGCTTAAGGCAAAAGTGTGCGCATCTCTAATGTACCGCTCCACTCCTTCGTCACACTTTGTCAGAACCACCACAGTGGGCTTTTTAGTTTTCGTGAGCTGATTGTACAGGTTTGAAACAAACTTGAGCTGATCGTCAAAGTTCCTGTTCATACCCCTGCTGACGTCGATGCAGAGGAGAAAGCCGTCCACCAGCAGCTTCCCATCTGGCATCTGCTTCTGTTCAAAGTCTTGCTCCAGCCCAAGCTGATCAGTGCAAAAGTACATGAGCTTTTCAGCTGATGCGAGTTTTGTCGCAGCCGCCCTTTTGATGTAGGGCTGCAGGGCTGTGCTGCGGTGGGGCTGAAAAGTCTGGTCATCAATAAACTCAGTCTGCTCCACAATATGCATTTTACATTCCACACAGTCCTCCAAAGAACGCACAACTTCCCCCCAGTACAAGAAGTGGTCATTGTTAACCACCCTTCCTCCAAAGTCACTGGTGCTGAGAACCGAAGTGTGGTCCAAATGGAAGTCATCTGCCCTGGGCCGTACAAACCGATTGCACAGGCAAGACTTCCCAATGCCACACTGCCCTTTCTCTTTTTCTGTCCCAGACAACCCCACCACACTGATGTTGTAGGTGGGAATGCGAACATCTTGCTTCCTTGCCATCATCATCATCCAAACATCCTGCCACACTCGGCTTCTTCCTAGAGTATTAGAGTCTGCCGCACTCCCATGCAATATCAAAAATGACTGGGTGGCTGTTGGCGATCCAGGTGAATCATCTCCAGGACAGTGAAGGTGGCTATTTCCCTGCTGCATGCGCCATCAGCAGCTCAGTTGTCACTGATCCTCAGCACTGGATAGACAGCATTCCCCCCTAGAGAAAAGAAAACAAACACAGTCTTAGGATGATTAAAGGGATAGCACTAGCATGGTTTTAAGAAAGATCTTTAGCGCAAACATGAGATAAAATGATAAAAAGACAAGTTACGCTTTAAATGTATAACGAAGACAAATATTAAAGTAGAAACTGACTTTGAGGCTGGGTTCTGAAAATTGCTCCTGGAATTCTCTCTCACACACACTACCAGGAAACAAGTAAAGAACACCCCTTGTACAACCCTCTTTACAGCCCTAATATCCTTTCTCATTTTAAAAGCAGCATAAGGGGGGGGGCAGTAAGTTCCACAGGCATTTTTTCCTCTTCCCCTTTCTTTCTCGAAAAGGAAATGGGTCCACTGTTATGGGGTGCAAACCTGAATGCTAGTACAGTAATGCTAATAAGTATTCTATATTACAAACAGCTTCCAAGGCACTGTCTCTATAGACAGGAATGCTGCCCTTCTTGCTTCGCACCATGAAGAAAGAGGAAGCACTTGGAAGACCCAACAATGCAATACCCCAAAAGCTGCTTGTGCAGTTCTCTTGATTTCAGGAAGGATGGAAAGGAAAAAGACTTTTAGGAAGTAGCTCTATTGACCCTTCCAAGAATTTTTTCTTCTTCATGGTACGAAGCAAGAAGAAAACCCCACCCACAGCCTCTACAATGCAGCCCTGTTTTAAAGCAGGGGAAGCATCATGGAGGGCTGCATTTGCGATAAGCCTTGTACTATGAGTCCATTGCTTGTCTCTCATTGCTTCCGCCAGTTCTGTAGAGGGAGGGGAATGCATTGGGGGCCACAAAGAAGTGATAGCAGAATGAGGGACAGATGGGGGGACCATGGAGACACAAGATAGGAGCTGTGTGGACAATTAACCCATATAATATTGAAGTCACCTTCTCTTGGCAAATGTCCTGTGCTTTTGAATGGTTTTTTGACAGGCAGAAATTGACAATTGATGCTTTCTTTGGCATCAAAAGGGCAAATGTGGACCTGTTGAACATTCACCTGCTGAAAAGCTGTTGGAGGCACAGAAGCCCTGGCAGGGAAAGAGCATACCCTTAAGTATTCTGATTTCCATTTGCACAATGTCTGTCTACTCATATTGCTCAAGGTCAGTAAGCCCTTGCAAGAGGACTATCACTATGTTGTTTGAATTTGTTCATGTTATTAGGAGAAGCTTAAAAATTTGAACTATGTACCAAAGCTCGACTGGTGCAGTCAGAACACTTGTTCTAGGCAGTATCCAAAGCACCATAGCAATTGACAAAACAGAAATCAATGTAGCTCCGAACAAAGTGGGCATTCTAATGAACAATATATTCTGTCACTGTCACATTTCAGGGGCTCCCCCGCCCCAGCAAATATACATATATAGGCTTTGTATACTGCCTTGAGACACTTGGAATTAAAAAAATAGTATTTTAAGTGTGTAAGTTGCCTTAATAGTTTTTCTTGCTCATCTTCAAAATAACTAAAGTAAATGGCTACTGCATCCATGAGGAACTTATTGGCCAAGGCCACTAAAACACAAGAGGACTTTTAACTGAAGCCTCCCAAACCCAACATTCTTTGCAATGGACCACAACTGCTCATTACCCACGTTAGAATATTGGGATTTGGTTACTTTTAAAAATGTTGGAAGTCCCCAGTCCTGAACAGTAATGTGATTAGTTTTACAGTTTAATATTTTCCACTGTGACAATTTGGGGGTTTTAGCAACACTTGAATTTTGGCAATTGCTACCTACTGCAAAATCCAGCCGGCAATATTCCCAAAATGCTCCACATGTTTCCTTGAGGGAGAAAAATTCTTGCATTACTCAGCCCAGATTTATCAGTGCATCTAGGTATCTCTTGTTTGGGGGTGATTTCAAATGCTCTAGACCAGGCATCCCCAAACTCGGCCCTCCAGCTGTTCTAGGACTACAATTCCCATCATCCCTGACCACTTGTCCTGTTAGCTAGGGGTGATGGGAGTTGTAGTCCCAGAACAGCTGGAGGGCCGAGTTTGGGGATGCCTGCTCTAGACACAGGACATGTATGGGAACATGAGGCAAGACCACTTCCAGATTTCCTGAAACAACAAATTTGCAAGAAAAGCTGAGCAGATAAGCTAGTTTACAAAAGGAGAGCAATTCTTACCCATCAGGCAAAAGGCTATGCCAATAAAGGTTCAGATGGACAACTGTGTATCTACTTTCTGCAGTTTATCTGGCAGTGGTTACTAACCAAGCACTAATCACAATGAATGAGAAATCATCCTAACTACCTATTAACTGCCACACCATGTGGTCTGTGGGTACTAGCCGCATGTCCGCAAACTATAAACTCTCTTTGCCACCTCGCTACAAAACTCCGTTGAAATAGTCCATCACCAACAATGAGAGTGAGAAAGTTCTGTCCTGGAGAACAGCAAGAAAAGCTGTTTACTTAAAACACAGCCTTAGAGAGACAGAAATAATGAAACTACTACTACAAGCATACACTCCTTACTCTCCCTCTACTCAAACATATTTAATGTTTTATTTACACAATGTTGTCAACACCAAACGCACCAAGCCAAAGACCTCTTTGGTGTTTTTTTTAATGTAAAGAATGGTACCAGATTAACAGCTGATGATTCCATTCATCAGGAGGATGAACTGAACTCTCTGAACTCACAGGCTCAGTCTAATAGGATAACAATCAGTTAAAAGTGTGAAAAGACCCAAGTAAATTCTTAAGTAATATTACTGTGGCATCATAACTACTTGCTTTTAAGTGGCTCTTTTCTTCCCAGAACTGTTTTAATATTTGCTTAGTGATTTTAAAATATTTAAAATACTGTTACATAATCCACCTTGGGAGGCTTAATCCCTACAAGCCACCCTAAAAATACTCTTATAAAAAAATGAAACAAAAATTAAATTAAATTAAATTACAAAACAATCAGCAGTCTCAATCATACTGCTTTAGTGACATGTTAAAACTGACACTATCATTTAAAATTTGGGGGCATTCAAATGGCATTGCTTGCTTTCATAGTTACAACATGCCTGTTTTTAGAGAATGTGGACTTTGAATCCGCAACCAGTATAAATTATCCTTTGCTTTGATGGCTGAATAATGTAGTTTAACTAGTTCTTCAGTTGGAATGAATTACACAAGACAAAAGGCTGCTGTACGTTTGAAAATGCTATTGTACGCTTGAGTTAGAAAAGGAAACCTAGAACATTTGATCTTAAGTGCATTCAACTTTTCTAAGAGTTAGCTAAAAAAAAAAAGCTGAGTCACCAGATTAAGTATTTGGACTACTACAAAAAAAGTGGGATAGAGGAAGTTGACACGTACTATAAACTGAGAGCTGCTCTGAATCTACAGCCAACTGGATATTTTATCTTCATTTTACAGTTATAAATCAAAGATTTTCTACCAAGTCCAAGTCCATTCAGTGCAGCTGGAATGTTTTGGGCTGGGCTTTTCTCACATATAAAGTTATAGGCAACAAGATTCTCAACCCTGAAAGAACACAATTCTACTACAATTTTCATAATAAATTAGCATTAGCAGTTAAAGGCATCTTTACAGCCAATGGCGCTCAGACCAAGAATAGTTTTTTGCATGCAACTTTCAGGGCTTGGCACCTCAAATTTGAACTTAAAAGATTCACAGTCAACATTCTTGATTATACACATTACCTCACACAGGACAACATCTATCACAGTGTCAGCATAAGGGGTTAGGGGCCTTAGAATCAGATCCTACTGGTGTACAATGTAGTACCCTGACTATAAGACTGATTATCTATTTCCCTTTCATGCTGCTGTCCAAGAAAGATAATGGCACAGGATTGATCAGCAGCTTTCTCCTCCATGTAAATATACACATATAAATATTCCTTAACCAACAAGCCTTTTACATGGACATTTTTATTCCAGTCTGTATTGTACTTCAAATTCTATTTATAAATGTTTTATTGTTGATACTTGTTGTCAAGTTGCTCTAGGATATTTTATGGGAAGAGATTCTTGAATGAAACGAACAGATAAATCCTGGCACTTCTGTGTAAAATGGCACCTCGCTGCTGCTCAGTTCTGTGTGCCACACATTAAGAAGAACGTTGACACATTAAGAACATTGAACTGAAGTGTGTCCAAGGTTGATGATCAGGATAGTAAGGGATCTAGAAACTGGGCGTTTTTAGACTGGAGAAGGGAATGATGCGCAGTTAGGGGTGCTGTAGTTGCATTCTGTATGCACCGATTAGGGGTTGGACTGGATGACCTCTAAGATGCCTTCAAACTTTAAGAGTCTATGAAACCAAGCCCAGCATCTTGCAACCCTACTCTTATTCTCAAATCTTGTTTCTGATGCTTCTCTTTCTCATAATTACTACCACCTGTTTGCTTGCTACGCAGAAAGCCAATGAGCAAGCAGACAGCGGATTTTAGGGCTAATCATTCTCACCACCACTGGTGCCTGGGTCAGAGTGAGAAGTAGGCAGGCAAGCTGAAGAGCAAGTTCAGTGGGCTGCCTGCAGAGATGCACAACTATGCCACTTATGGAAGCTGGTCCTCATAGCCAACACAGATGGATTGGAATGTAGTAGAAATAATGTGTCCTGCAAAACACTACAGCTATGGTTTTCCCAGTAGTGATGTATGGAAGTGAGAGCTGGACCATAAAGAAGGCTGAGCGCCGAAGAATTGATGCTTCTGAATTATGGTGCTGGAGGACTGACTGCAAGAAGATCAAACCAATCCGTTCGGAAGGAAATCAGTCCTGAGGGCTCACTGGAAGGACAGATCCTGAAGCTGAGGCTCCAAGACTTTGGCCACCTCATGAGAAGAGAAGACTCCCTGGAAAAGACCCTGATGTTAGGAAAGATGGAGGGCACAAGGAGAAGGGGACGACAGAGGACGAGATGGTTGGATAATGTTCTCAAAGCTACCAGCATGAGTTTGACCAAGCTGCGGGAGGCAGTGGAAGACAGGAGTGCCTGGTGTGCTCTGGTCCATGGGATCATGAAGAGTCGGACACGACTAAATGACTAAGCAACAACAAAAGGGGAAAATGCTCACATAAAAGCAGAAACCGATCTGTCACCAGGCAAAATATGGAGAAGACACATGGCAGCAAATCCAGCTAGTATTGCATGGCAAAGTCCAAAGGTAAACTAAGAACAGTCTTCTCCATACTAGGCATCAAATACTAGTAAGTTCCAACTCCTGGGATACGTTGAAAGCAAGCAAACCATAATGGAAAGCATTAAGAGCCAGAGTAGGAAAAGATTGAGATGGCTGGTGTTGGAAAGAGAGCAGGAGGATACAAAAACAAACCAGCAAAGTGGCATGCCCAAGTGCCTGAGGAGAAAGGCAGCAGGGGGCTGTCTCAGCACTAGAAAACCTGTGGGAGGCTTTTCATTCAACAGAACAGCGAAATGACACGTGCAACAAATTGATGATACAAATGAACAAGCAGTATCTCTGATCTGGAAACTGGCCAGGTAAACAATCCATGTTAAGTACAACTTTTAAAACAAAAAACATTGTTACACACTGAACTTCACCACCACTGAAACTTTAGTCGCCCACAGAGCCTAGGACTTGCCAATCAGAAAGTCGCGGTTCGAATCCCTGCAATGGGGTGCGCTCCCGTTGCTCGGTCCCTGCTCCTGCCAACCTAGCAGTTCGAAAGCACATCAAAGTGCAAGTAGATAAATAGGTACCGCTCCGGCAGGAAGGTACCGTATTTTTCGTTCTATAGGACGCACATTTCCCCCTCCAAAAACTAAGGGGAAATGTGTGTGCGTCCTATAGAGCGAATGCAGGCTGCGCCGCTAAGCCCAAAGCCAGAACAGGAAGACGGAGCACTGCGGAGCGCTCCGTCTCGCTGTTCTGGCTTGGGAACAGCCTTGCTAGCTTCTGCAGGACAGCGGGGTGAAGGCACCCCGCTGCCCTGCAGAGGTTTGCGCGCAGCCCTCCCCAAGCTAGAGCAGCGAGACGGAGCCCTCCGTCTCGCTGTTCTGGCTTGGGAAAGCTAGAGCAGACGGCTGCGCGCAAACCTCTGCAGGGCAGCGGGGTGCCTTCACCCCACTGCCCTGCAGGAGCTAGCAAGGCTGTTCCCAAGCCAGAACAGTGAGACGGAGGGCTCCGTCTCGCTGCTCTAGCTTGGGGAGGGCTGCGCGCAAACCTCTGCAGGGCAGCGGGGTGCCTTCACCCCGCTGCCCTGCAGAAGCTAGCAAGGCTGTTCCCAAGCCAGAACAGCGAGATGGAGGGCTCCGTCTCGCTGCTCTAGCTTGGGGACGGCTGCGCGCAAACCTCTGCAGGGCAGCGGGGCGCTGCGCTCCAAAGGCTTCAGGGATCTTTGAGGCTGGCGGTGGGGGAAAGCAGCGCTTCCCCCCACCGCCAGCCCCACAAGCTCTGGTGAATGTACCTTGAACGCACCTTGTTTTGGAGGGGGAGAACAAGAAAAAAAATCTTTTTCCCTGTTCTCCCCCTCCTATGATCCGGTGCGTCCTATGGTCCGGTGCGTCCAATGGAGCGAAAAATACGGTAATCGGCGTTTCTGTGCGCTGCTCTGGTTCCACATGACCTAGAAGCTGTACGCCGGCTCCTTCGGCAAATAAAGCGAGATGAGCGCCGCAACCCCAGAGTCAGTCACGACTGGACCTAATGGTCAGAGGTCCCTTTACCTACGGGTGATGAGCATTTGCTAAAATATGTTGTACAGTGGTACCTCGGGTTACATACGCTTCAGGTTACAGATGCTTCAGGTTACAGACTCCGCTAACCCAGAAATAGTACCTCAGGTTAAGAACTTTGCTTCAGGATAAGAACAGAAATCATGCTCTGGTGGTGCGGCAGCAGGGGGAGGCCCCATTAGCTAAAGTGGTGCTTCAGGTTAAGAACAGTTTCAGGTTCAGAACGGACCTCCGGAACGAATTAAGTACTTAACCCGAGGTACCACTGTACTTAATGAAGCCCTGTGGCTTGGGGTATCGCAATACTGGCTGTTCTTTTAACTGGACATGAACTGCTATGTTTCGAAGAGTGAAACTATAAACATATAAGACTATGCCTGCAAATTTCCTACCAAGTAAAGTTTTAAAACTAGGAACAAAAGACATTACAAGTGTTAAAGATAGGAGTCACAACATATAACAGCCATACAACCAGCTCCATACTCACTCCTCCTGCTCCACAATCTCAATGCTTTTCTCTGTGTTGCCATTCTTGCTGTTCTCTCGATCAGCAAAACAGACACACTTTTCAATTTTCTATTAATTATCTAGTAAATAATTTCCCTACCAGACAAGCAAGCAGCTCCAGATAAAGTTATGAGAAAAATATTAAATAAAAAAATGCCAATTCAGTAGAGTGTGAAATCCATGCATATACAGTGGTACCTCAGGTTAAGTACTTAATTCGTTCCGGAGGTTCGTACTTAACCTGAAACTGTTCTTAACCTGAAGCACCACTTTAGCTAATGGGGCCTCCCGCTGCTGCCGCGTTACCAGATCCCCGATTTCTGTTCTTATCCTGAAGCAAAGTTCTTAACCTGAAGCACTATTTCTGGGTTAGCAGAGTCTGTAACCTGAAGCGTATGTAACCTGAGGTACCACTGTACTTAGAACCCAGTATATACAGTTCCATAGCCTGTTATCAGCCCTTCTCTTCATTTTAGTGGAGAAAAGAAAGGCTTGTATCATAGGCCACATGCATCCCTAATGTGTACTGCTTTCAAGATCAAGCCTTAGTGGATCATATGCAGTTTTAACCGATCATTTGATCAAATTTCTCAAATCAATGTAAGGAGAAAGCACACTTTTTAGCTGATGTGTTTGTGGCAACATGCACCATGTTAGAAAAGGCATTCCTTCGTGAAAAGGAGAAGATGTCTTTTCTGGGATGGTACCCTGCAGTTTTTAGAAGCATCAATATAAAATTGGTCGCCTGAGCAGTAAGGGCACATTTTAGACCATGGGTAGGCAAACTAAGGCCCGGGGGCCAGATCCAGCCCAATCGCCTTCTAAATCTGGCCCACAGATGGTCGAGGAATCAATGTGTTTTTACATGTCCTTTTATTTAAAATGCATCTCTGGGTTATTTGTGGGGCTTAGGAATTCCTTCTTTCCCCCCCAAAATATAGTCTGCCTCCCCCCCCCCAAAGTCTGAGGGACAGTGGACCGGCCCCCTGCTGAAAAAGTTTGCTGACCCCTGTTTTAGACAGACAAACAAATGTATTTTCATGATCTACATCTCCACTATTTAACCTTCAACACTTCCAAGAACTGACCTCACTGAATGTTGCCCTCATCCACCCAAATCTTGATGATTTTGTCTGCCCATCACAGTTGTAGAAAATGCAACGTAATAAACAACAAAAGGGGGAAGAAAAGCAAAAGAGGAAAAGCGGGACTCCTCAGCACAGAAAGCTAGTTAACAAAGAAGCCACACAATACTAGAGTGAACCCTGGTTAACCCTGCATTAGGTACAAGAAATACAGCCCCACATTAGGATGTTTTATTGGTATAGTAATGCTTCCCTGCCGCAAGTAGCGCAACTAAATTATCTTCCCTGTTTGCTGGGTACCGTTTCTTATGCAAAATTAAGCACAGCCCAACTCAGCACTCTCTTAAAAACATACCCTCAAATTAACCTAATTTAAGGGGTGTTTGTTGCTGCAAACATGTGCATTATTTATATTTAATGCTAACTTCCAGCTTAGTGTGGTTTTAGTGTTCAGAATTACACACTGTTGAAAATCACTTTTAATAAAGCAAACGCTGAATGACCCTGAAGCACAGCAGCGCAAGGGGTGCCGCTTCAGTCCACTGCCCGTACTGTATGTGTAACAATGGGGAAAGGATTTCCTCACAGAGTCGTAAATTTTCTCACTGCACCACAGTGGCTCAAGTGTAGAAAATCTCTGAAATGGGTCATTTGTATCTTTGGAAAGGCTGATTTAAGCTTTTTAACCATCTGGATCTGAAACATTTAATCTCAGGCAACAGATGGGCTATTCTTAGATGAAGGGTGTACATGAGCTTACAGGCCATGCACACCAACCCCAGCATCACCCTCTGGGTCCCTTCGGAAATTTACTGATACAAGGAGAGAAACCAAGTATGTGCACAAATCACGCAGGCACTGCTACTAGCTGGGATGAATACGCTCGAGTCCGGCTTAGCAGCATGCATTCTCCTCAGCACATAAAGCCCACTATCCGTTGCATGGGTAAAGGCCCACTATGAGAGGTGGTTTTCCAAAATACTATTCCTTCAACACGACGCATCTAAGATTAGCACAATCCCCTGGAAGCAAAGCAGATAAGTAGGCATATTGTAAAACTTCAATTATGACACATTAGAAGCATACCTCACCACCATCCCTAAGGGAGGATATTAGCATGGACAATCCTCCTTCCACTTCAAGAATGTGCATAATTCTCTTGCAGTTCTTTCAATAAAATGAGACTGAGATGGAAAGATTTTTGTGCATGCTACCGACAGTTGTGTCTACCAAGTACTGAAATCCTAGAGCTGCGTCAAGTGCTGCTCCAGAGGTTCCCTTGATTTTGGGGGTGGCTTTTCAAGTTAAAGATGGGGAACTGCAGAAGTAAAAGGATGACCTTTAGAAATCCTGGTGTATGGAGTAAAACCTGTCACTCAACAATTTAGATCTCACCTAAGTCTGCTACTTATGTGAAAGAAATTAAAAGAAAGGCTACGTTTGCTTTTTGTTTTGCTTTTACTATTATTGTTAAAAGAACTCATTTTTCTTCCTAGCTGGACAGGCAAAGCTTCTCTCTTTTCTGTTTACTTCAATAGACTTGCATACCAAAACCTTCTGCTAACAGAAAATGCACTCAAAGAATCCAGTGTTCAAGCAGCAACTTTTATTAGCTATCACAAAATCTATGTTAGGCGAAAGGTTAATATGCACACGCAGATTATAAATACAACATGTACAGCCTACTGTACAAATGCACCCTCATTTTAGCTTGCCTAGTGCTTCTAGATAGATAGATAGATGGATAGATAGACAGATAAAATTAAACATATAAGATGCTGTATTCTTATCTCCACTTGAAATATTGCAGAAAACACCCCCTGTATAAGAGCAAGAAAGGCTTAATTTTGCTTCTTGGCCAGGAAAAACATTCTGGGCCCTACACAGCAGGAGGCATTTCTGTTGATATGCCTAACTAGGGGTATGAAAATTGAGAAAGACAGCAGTCCATGGTGCCTAAAAAAACCCTTAAGCCTGAACTGGCACAGGGGGTGCTGCACAGGTAAAGAAAAAGGGTTTCTTTGCCTCTTGAGATTTACAAAAAATGTTGCACAGCATCTAAGCAAATCTGTAACCAGAAAGTCACGTGTATTTTTTAAATGAAGCATAGGGAGAGTTTCTCTCGACAAACAGTACTAGTTATATGTCTTACCATCTCTCTTACTTTCAGCTTTTAAGAACAATGGGCTTCTCTATTTAGTTATAAAGAGGAAGTCTGTTGTTAAAATCATTTAGAAAGCAGACATGAAATAAAAGAGGGAAATGCAAAACACAACTCAGAATTTCCAAAAATATCCAGTATTTGATACATAGGAATCCTATCTCCCCACAAGTTTAATCTTAAAATGGGATTTGTCAATTAAGTCCATCTGCTGGACACCTTCACCAGCTTGTTCTGAGACTGGAAAGCCAATACACACCTCAGCATAAAAACTGAGGTTTACAAGGGAAAATAGCTTGTTCAGCATCCCAGCAATTAGTTAGCAATAGCCCCATTGGTTATTAAATCAGAATGAGTGAGTAAAATAACTAGATTTTAAATCACGTGTCAGGGACTGGCAGGACACTGATGAGTGTGCACCAGGAGAAGGGGGCCTAGAGTTTGACTCGGGGGGGGCAGTGATTGGTGGGGAACTGTACTTGTCAGGAGGCAAGAGTCAGGGCAAGGTGAAGCTTCACAGTTGGAGAGTGGAGCACAGAATGGGTCAGAAAAAGAGGAAGGTCAGGCAAGCAAAGGGCCAGGTGTCCCCCCCTGCCTCCTCCTGCACCACTGTCTCCCAGCACCAGTAGGGAATTGAAGAGGGATGAGCAAAGGAAGCTGACATGCAGGCACAGTCTCTGGCTGCATGCGCACAGCCTGTAGGGGGGAGGTACATAACTGGTGGAAGTGGAGTGGCCCCTTGTTGCTACAACTGCTCCATAATAATAATAATTTTATTATTTATACCCCGCCCATCTAGCTGGGGTTCACCAGCCACTCTGGGTGGCTTACAACGTATCTTAAAACATAATAAAAACATCAAGTGTTAAAAACTTCCTGATACAGGGCACAAAGTGCAGACCTGGGAATAGCTGCCTAGACGTTAGACTGGTGTGCATGGGTATTCGGAGCCATACAAACTACTCTTCACTGTCAGCTTTGACAATAAAGAGTTTACTATCTGCTATGTGCATTTTTGGTTGGGGAGCACCCTTTCTAGGTCTCTCTACAGGCCTTCAGATCTCTCTCCAAGCCACAAACGTCTCCCCAAGCCACATCCTCGCTGGCCCTGCTTCATAGCCCAAGTAGTTTTGCCTGGCTAGAATGTGGCCTTGAACTCTGACCGTGCCTCTTGCTTGCTTGGATGGCAGGAACAAGCCTACTGTACAAATGTAAAATTAAGATTTGTTCCTCCATGCACTTATGCCTCTGGTCTCAGAAGGTTGCCCAGAAGGGAGTGAGGGCTTTGGGCTGAAGGTTGCCCACCCCTGTCTTAAACCAATAGCAAAACTGGCTATTAGCATTTGTAATTTATAGGGCCAAAGATCCAAAACCTAGCTAGGCTACTAACTGCAAGAGCTAGTAAAGTTCTTGAAATTTTGCATTGACACAAAAGACCTTCATATTCCTGTATCGCAGGCTGTGCTGGAAACTCCCTTCAGGTTCAAAGGTGATTTCCCATGCAGCATAGAGAGCAAACAATGTCTGCTCACCACAAAAAGGGAGGGGGGAGTATGGGTAAATAAACTTTGCCACATTTAAAGTAGTCCAGTTCTCGCAATAACCTCTCTCTAGGCCTGCTCAGAATCTTTCATAAAAGACAGCATCACTACTCCACCACTTTTTGTACTACCACATAAAAAGAGCTGTGCTTCCCTTTCCCATCCAGCCAGCCAGAGAACTGTGCTCTCTTGGATTGGTTCTTAAAAGGGAATGAGGGGCAATTTCTCTCACCTTTCTGCTTTAGTTTCCTAGAGCAGCAGATGGGATGCAGTCTGACTGCTTTGTTCCTCAAGCAACAAAGCTCCCCGTCTTTGCCAGCTGTTAATTAAAAGTGATAAATGAGACAAAAAAGGGAAATATCTATGCTAGCAGCATTTCCCCCCCACCTTTACTGGGGGTTTCCACACATGGAAGGGTCAACCTCTGTGAACTCCATGGACCCTCTTTTAAGAAGAACCAGACAGCCTTCACAGTTCTTAGGTTTGTTGAAAGAGGTGCAACTGAAACTGCCTAGATCAGGGGTCAGCAACCTTTTTCAGCCGGGGGCCAGTCCACCGTCCCTCAGACCTTGTGGGGGCCGGACTATATTTTGAAAAAAAATAAATGAACAAATCTATGCCCCACAAATAACCCAGAGATGCATTTTAAATAAAAGCACACATTCTACTAATGTAAAAACACCAGGCAGGTCCCACAAATAACCCAGAGATGCATTTTAAATAAAAGGACACATTCTACTCATGTAAAAACACGCTGATTCCCGGACCATCTGCGGGCCGGATTTAGAAGGCGATTGGGCCGCATCTGGCCCCTACACCTTAGGTTTCCTACCCCTGGCCTATATCATCAACCCTTGATGGATTATGAGATGTCAAGAAGTCCAAGCATTCCTATAACAAAGTTAAAAGGCATCACACTGTCTGCTGTTTCAGTGGATTCTCTTATTTTCCACACCCCAATGCACACACCCCTTTTTCAGTTTAGCAGCCAATTGTATGAAATTTAAGGTAAAGGTAAAGGTACCCCTGCCCGTCAGGGCCAGTCGTGACCGACTCTAGGGTTGCGCGCTCATCTCGCTCAAGAGGCCGGGAGCCGGCGCTGTCCGAAGACACTTCCGGGTCACGTGGCCAGCGTGACGAAGCGGCATCTGGCGAGCCAGCGCAGCACACGGAAACGCCGTTTACCTTCCCGCTATAAAGCGGTCCCTATTTATCTACTTGCACTTAGGGGTGCTTTCGAACTGCTAGGTTGGCAGGAGCTGGGACCAAACGACAGGAGCTCACCCCGTCGCGGGGATTCGAACCGCCGACCTTACGATCAGCAAGTCCTAGGCACTGAGGTTTTACCCACAGCGCCAAAGAGCTACTAATTGGTATGATGTCACTGCCCACATTTAGATTACTATTGCTTATCCCTTACTGCCCTGAGATAAAGCGTTGGATATTTTATGGGATGTTACAAGTATGAAACCTGGGAACAGTATGAAGTTCAGGGAAAGAGACAGAGTATAAAGTTTAATATTTTCTACCTGTTTTCTTATTCATTGTAACAGTGGGATGAATTGGTTTGCAATCTATAAAAAACTATTTTTACTAAGATGGTTTTCCCACATCTGTTTGTAACACTGAATAAGCACATTAAGAATTTGTACCGTAAAGGTTGTATATATCAAGATGCCAATTAAGATGCAACTGCACACACCCCAAGCTCTAAGGCTCGTTCGTTATCACTCTGTACTCCTCAAGTCTTTTCACTGTGCTTTACAACTTAAGAGTGCAAGACTGTATAACATCTATTCATTTTAACCAGGCTTATTTCAAATAATGCCCTATATAGAACTCTAAAGCTATGCTCTTTCTCTCTGTTATTTATAAGCAATGCACTCAGATTTTTTTCCTCATCTACAGATTTACCTTGCCCCACTGCAGTTCAATGGACTATAAGAACAAGGTCTTTCTTCTGCTTTCTGTATTAAGAAAAATTAAGCAAGCAGAGGTTATCAACTCAAACACATCCATCACTAACAAAGGGAAATCCTAGTTTCCCCATCAATATTCAAGCTGCAAGAGAAAATGTAAAGACCTTATTCTGGCATCATTATTCAAATAGATGGTTATTAACGTCAAATAATTTTTTAAGGGAGCAGACTTCAAACATATAAGAATTAGACAAATAATGTGAGACACTCTATAGCTTGTTTGAGCACTGCCAAAGCCCTATCACCGTGGTATCAGAACACTCTGAAGCATCTAACAGCTCACATAGTTGAAGACTTGGACAGTAGCCAAACCACCTCCCTAGCTGGGTCATTAAATCCAACTAAAGGGGGGGGGGAGGAATTCAGACTCTAGCTCAGGTCATCACAGCCTGCCTTCCCTACTCCCAGGGATCTGTTCAGTGGACAAAGATATTCTCAAAAGACAAAGGTAAAGCTATTGTTAAAAATAATGGTTTAAGGCTTCTGCAATTATAACTAGGCAGCTAAAAGCTAGAATTTAGCCTCCAAAACTACAGCTAAAGAAAAAGGGGCCATCAACTGAGGAACATTACCATCACAAACCCCAGTGAAATTAATAGGTGCTTCATGAGTATAGCTCTCACTTCTGTTCCATTTCAGAGGAATTCAAAATCAAACCATTGACAGCAGACAGTGAACCAAAGTTTAAAACTACTAACAGAGTTAGTAGTAAAAGTCTGATGTTCTTCAGCAGTCGAGATTTCTGGGGTGCAAGTGGGCAAGCACCACTGAATTTCACTCCCTATATTTAATTTAACATTTATCAGAGTTAAGTATGTGAAAAAATATAGCAAAATTATTATTATTATTATTTTTAAAAAAACATTATTCAGTGATCCCAATTTCAAAGTTCATATATAGATTACTCATACCAAGTTACTTGTAGTAGTCAAAATACTGGCTGGACATATTTTCCTATACTGGTGTGTTTAATTAATTAAGTAATTAGCATACCTCCGTTCAGCCGAAAATCATAGTAGTTCACAACATAAAAATGCAAAATGAGAACACAAAATACATAATAAAACAAAAACAAACCAATAACCCCCTTCCACAAATACATTTAAAATATAATAGATATTTATTTATTTTTATATCTGAAACCTTCCTACTCCAGTGGCCTATTGGTTAGCCTCTCTACATGCACATTGTAATGCACTCCCTACCATGCAACCACGCTGAATTTGAATAAGCTGACAATGTCATGGTCTAAGGAGTATATCAAATGCTTCTGAAATGTAAAAAGGGGGGGGGGATACAGAGCTGTGTTATCAGCACATGAAAAAGTATTAGAAGCTTTGTAGGGTTCAATGCTATAGATAAATATACCCTATAGTGGACCTGATCTGTGATCCTCTCTGAATTTCATATAAACCTCCTTTTATGCAAATACTCAAGCAAAACCATAGTGGGTGATCGGTTTCACACCAGTTCACCCCACATTCCCTTGCTGCCCACTGATGCTTATGAAGGACCAAACCACAAGAGATGTACACCACTAAACCAGAGTGTAACATACAGTGACTGGGACCTAAATCCTATGGGGCTAGTAAGGCCCTATTTCGAACCTTACACCCGATATGAGATCAAATAAGACGACTTATGAGGGAGCAAGCTAGCCTGATTCTGATCCTCCAACATATGTTCACTCTGGCATCTGTATATGTAACCTCTGCCTGTGTGGGTCCTAATGGGCTTAAGGAGTAAAACTTAAGAGGCAAAAGACCCTCTAAGTCCAAAGAAATATCAAGGTGTTGGACACTTCAGAGCAGCTTCTTTGCAAAAAGCTTTAGTCCCAAAGGGATGGGACAACCACAGCAAACGGCAAATGTATAATTTGCAGCTTACACAAGATAAGAGTCCAAAAATATTATTCGGCTCAACTGCAGAACAAACTTCCATTCCCTCCTTCTAGCTCCCCACTACTGGGCTGAACCAACCCATTTGTAAGGATTACACATACAGCTAGTATGAACTAGCAACTGATCAGCTAAGAACAGCACGAGTAAATGCCATTCTAAACCAAAACCTCTTGGGATAATAAAGGCAAAATCTTCAAAAACTTATTAGCCCCTTTTAGGAGATGGAAGAGTATGAGTAATGAATACTTTTCTTTTGCGAGAATTTAACCAATTTAAAGGGCTGCCCACTAAACAACTATGATTTTAAAAATAAATAACAAGAGGGGGAAATCCAAACTTAAATGAGATACTGCACACACAAAAAGACTCAGAAAGACAGATTGAAACGTAACAACATTAAGATCATCCACGGATACTTTATTTTCCTCAAGATTTGTCAAGTCCCACATATCCTTTTCCCCTTATTTACCTAAAAGCACATTACAACTACCAGAGGTAGGAAATAGGAACACTGAATCAGATCCATCTAGTATTGTCTACACTGACTGGCAGTGCCCTCTCCAAGGATGTGTGCTTTGCACACCTTCTGTGTGCAAAGCAGATGCTCTATCGATGAGAAACAGCCCTCTCCCAAAAAGGAAACGTGCAAATACGTTTTTGTACAAGTTCATTCTAAACCATCGGCCTTAATGAGACCAGGATACAAGAGCACCTACATGAGATTACCTGGCATTTCTCTCTATCTACCCACAGTGCAAGACAGCCAAATCATTGGACAGGCATAAATTAGGTTGACTCTGGTACAGCAAGAAAGATACCCATTACTGCACAGGAGACAAGAGTGACGGCCAGTTCCTGTCTCCTGCTGACAACCTCTGAGCCTACACACACTACATTACTGAGTGTATTTCAAACAGTCGAACACAGACCCTGGGATAGAGGAAAAAAGCAAGAATATACCAAAGCCCTAACCAGTATCCCATACTATTGAATGCATAATGTTCATAGTCCTGCTCAGAGAAGCTCTGCCCAGTCTGCACCCAAAACAGGTAGTACCCATCACACAGCACGGATGTGACCACATCAAATACTGGAGAAAATTGGGAAAGAATCCACTTTCTTTCAGTATTGTCCAAAGCCCCAAAAAACTGTTTCTAACAGAGGCATAATATCTAAGAATGAAGTTACAGTGGTACCTCAGGTTACATACGCTTCAGGTTACATACGCTTCAGGTTACAGACTCCGCTAACCCAGAAATAGTGCTTCAGGTTAAGAACTTTGCTTCAGGATGAGAACAGAAATCATGCTCCGGTGGCAGCAGGAGGCCCCATTAGCTAAAGTGGCGCTTCAGATTAAGAATAGTTTCAGGTTAAGAACAGATCTCCAGAACGAATTAAGTACTTAACCTGAGGTGCCACTGTATTGAACTGCTTACTGCTTACCCCAACTTTAGCAAAAAGTCTTTTATGGGAATCTGTGTCCCTAAACTTGGAAACGATGAAACAATTCCTAAAGCAGACACGCTGATTCTCAGTGAGTTGGAATGTCCCCGAGGTTCAAGGCAGCCTTGTATCATAAGAACATGATGATATCCAATTCAGGGAACAGGATTCCATCCATGTCCTATACTAGGGGAGGAGAATCCTTTTCAGCCCCAGGGCTACAATGCTTCATGGGCAAACTTCCAGGGGCTGCATGCCAGGGTGGGCTGAGCCAGAGGCAACAGAGGCTGGAGCAATGAACATGACTCTTACCTTTGTACAGTAGGCTACATGTGCAAGCCAGAAGTTTCTACACACCCCTATCTCTCCATCTAGACAAGCAAGAGACTTTATCATAGTTCAAGGGCACATTCCAGTGAGGCGAAAGTACTCAAGGAGGGTGCACAGCAGAGCTAGCAAGGACTGCAGCCAAGGGAGAGAGAGCATGTAAAGAGGCTTGGAGAGCAATATTTGGACCCTGGGCCTGACGCTCACTGCTCTGTCCTAAACAAAAGCAAAAAAAAAACTCCTTTGCTTTCATTTAAGAAACTGGCAAGGAATGAAAGCTTACCGGTAATTCTGTAAGTGTGCCTGCTACATTCTGCATTGCATAGGAAAAAATAAAACATCACAGCTGTGATGGACAAAAGTAAATTTTCTTTATTTTGTCAGGTATGATATACAAAACTAGAATATTATAGGCAGGGACTGCAAATGTTACTTCACCTGTTAAAGTTTACCTTTTTTAGAATGTCACATCATCAAAACCTCTATTCACTACCACGCCCATTTCAAATATGAATAAAAGAAAATGTGTAATGATTTGGTGGGAAGAAGAGGATTAGTAGGGGGAGAAATCCAAGCTGTTCTACAATAACATTAGTAGTATTGTTTACATAGTGTCCCCAATATAAAATAATAAATAAAGAAACTTGTAAGCCACCCTATACCCGTAGATCTCAAGGTGGTTCACAACATAAAAACACAATATAAAAAACACAAAATACATAATAAAAATAAAAACAACCCACTAATTCCCCTTCACACAACACATTTTAAAAGAGCATTAGATTAAGGTTACCAGATGTCCCCGTTTCCCGGGGACAGGCCCTGGATTTACAAATCAGTCCCCATACAAAATCCTATCATTCCTATTTAAGTTGAAAAGTGTCCCCGGATTCATTGAAAAAAAATCTGGTAACCTTACATTAGATATCAACCAGCCAAAGGCCCTGTTAAAGGTGTATAATGAAGGCACCAGCCAAACCTCCCTGGGGACAGCATTCCACAAACAGAGAGCCACTGCAGAAAAGGTCCATTCTTGTGTTGCCCTCCTCCTGTGCAAGATCTCAAACTACAGAAGGAATGAAACAATTGCCAGGAGCTTTCAGATGCATTCCTTGCACACCGGCATCTGTCATCCTAAACCTTTTTGCTCACATAGACATAGGCATAACACTGCTGTCATGTCAGGGTAATGTTTTCTGTGCCTGGCACAGGTGTTGCTACATACCACTCCAATCTCATGGTGCTGGCACAGTGTAATCTTTTAGATCTTACCTGGACATGAGCTGGAGTAGAGGAGAGATCTATCCACAGCTAATAACTATGGGATCAACACAGAACCTTTATGTTCAGAAACAGTATCACATGATGGGGACAAGCAACAAAACAACTCTGCTGTTGAGTTTCTAGAGGAATCTAGCTAGCTACTCTTGGAAACAAAATGCTGGACTAGATGAACCTTTTGATCTGATCCAGCAAAGAAGCTATTCTTATTAAACAGGTGGTCTTTGAAAAACACATGCAGACAGAACAATGGGGCATACTCATTTTTCCATGTTTTTGGTGACAACACAAATGCCTTCTATATTAAATTTATCAAATTGTTTATTTATGTTGTTTTGTTTGCATTGCCTGTTGGTCAGAGGATTCAAAAAAATAATCAATAGGTTTCAACCCATTAAAACTACTACAACAGCAGCATCACATTGCCAATAAATAACTGTTGATGAGAAGCATATGCTTGCATCATGCCTTATCAGTTTATAGTGACAATTATCACCAAGGCATTTAGAGAACTCCTACCTGGCTACTATAACCGTCATTATCTAGAAATATCTACACTTGGGCAGTATGTTCAGCATTGTGGGGGCGGTGGGAGGTATTTTAGCTGCTTCCAACTGAAAAATATACACTTTCCTTCAGTCTAAAACTATACTGTTGCCCAGGCTCAGGCCATGAAGAAATCATGCTATACAGCTAATATCTTAATGGCTCCCTTCTAATTGCTTCAATTCACATCCTTCAGCATTTTCACCACCACATTTCCAGATTGCTCGCTACGCACCAATGAGGGCTAGAAACCACAGTAATAAAAATGCCCCTTAACCTAGTTGAAAATTATATGTGAATGTAATAAAAATTTATTAAATTATATATTCATGGGCTCTAATCCTGGTGAAGTTAGTCATGGCTAATGTGAGTCTAATAACCTTCAATAGAACTTTACTTCAGTGCAACTGTGGACAACACTCAACTATTACCCTTTATCAAACCAATAAGTGCATTCAAGTGCTCTGCTATGGCTTAGGATGACAAAACATGAACAAATCAGAGCAAGCTTCAGGCCCACGTGCTCCCTTACATGCCTCCACTGCCAAAGCTAGTAAGAGAACAGAAGCTTCTGTCTCACTATGTTTTGTCATGTTGTCCGGTGGTTAATACCAACTATGGTTTCAAACCAACCAACTTCAAATCCTATTTGACTCGTTTAAATTAACCATAGTTAAGATTAACAGGGTCACAACAAGAGCTGTGTTTAATCAAAAGCAGAACCAAAAAGCTTCTGAATTCATCTTTCTAAGTGAAGAGGACAAAAGGGGAATGCACAAGCAAAAATCTCATATGGACTTCTTCCTGCACTGTTGACATCTGTCCGTCTCAAGAGACAATGGAGTGCACCTCTGGGGGTGAAGTCAAACTGCTGTGTTAGCATCACCGAAGCAACCTCCCCAGGGCTCAAGCCTAGGCAATGTGTATGGAGCTCCTGGGGTGCCCAAATGACAAGACCCACCCCCCTCAGCCTCACTGACATAGTCCAAAAGAAAGAAGAGCAATACTGGCACCAGCTTGGCTGCAGGAGTTGCTAGGAGGCGGCGTACAAGGCACCATCTGATCATCTTAGGGACTCCACTCTGGATTTGTGTAGGGTTTATTCCTTAGCCTATTCTCTTGAAGATGTCCTGCAAAGCAGTGGGTGTTTAGGATCAGAGTTTTCCTTCTGCTAGATGGGCTACCTGTCCAGGTTGATTTCTCCCATCTACCCTTCAGTTCCCTCTATGCGTGTGCAGAAGCTAAAGAATTGGTGGTCCCTGGTTTAAATGATACAGCAACCATTTGGTATGCACATTTGCTCAGGAAACAAATGACTTGGAAAGCTAGAAGCTTGATTTAAATCAACTATTTAAATCACCTTGATTGACCCTCCTACCTATTTCTAGATGTCAATGACTGTACTCATAGAAACGTGAAATGCCCTATGACATGTCTTACTCTATTCTACATTAATTGAAGTTAGTCCAAAATTGCTATCACTTCCATAATTATTTTTTCTCTCATATGTGTCCCTCTAAAATGAAATGAATGACACACCTCTCCAAAAAGAATAAAAAACTTTCTTAAGGTGTGAGGAAATTCTGGCCCTCACTTGTTGCTGGATTCCAACTAGCATCAGCCCCAGTTAGTCTTACTTTTATGTTCCTTAAAACCACTGTTCTGTTTCATCTGATAAGATACAAAAGTCAAAATACATAAATAATAAAAATTTAAATCCTCACCTTGGCAAGTGGTCTTTCTAAGCAATCAATAAAGTTTTGCTTTCAGACCCCATCCAAAAGTTCAAAATGACTCATCAGCACATCACACTACACTGGGACAGGAACCTCTGGCCCATGGGCCCAATTTGGTCCATAAGGTCATTTCCCCCAAACCTTGCATGGGTGAACTTTAAAAAGGGGGGAGGTGTCTGCTTGTTTTCCGTAAGCATGCAATGAAAACAAGTGGGCCCAGTTTTTTTACTCATCACTTCACGATGGAGCAGTCCTTGCCAGAGCCAAGGTCTGCTTTTGACACCAGCACTAACAAGACTACTCCATTGCACAGCAATGACGAAGTGGGTGCTTTTTTCCCCACACAGTCCCTCCTCCCCATAGCTAAGACACAGAGCAGGGACTCACTTAAAGTAGGAGCCCTTTGCAGCGTTTTCTCCCACACTTTCAAAGATTGCACCAGACCAGTGTGGGAGAAACTGCTGCAAAGAACTCTCAGATTCGCCCCCCCACACCCATCCTTGGACAGGAATATAGGGAATGCAAGGGATTTTGAGAGATGGGTGGGGCAACCTGCCTGCCAATCATGTGTTGTCACAATAACGGTTTGTGATTGCCAGGTGGATTGCCCTGCACATCTGTCAAAATTGGCTCACAGAAGGGCCGAAAAGGTTCAGCACCCCTGCACCAAACCACAGTCTGCACAAGCCAGAATGAGCTGCAGCGTGTCTCATGCACTCACTATTCTCTGGCTGTGTGGCTAGGAAGAACTTGGAAGCTTTTGTTTAACCATGATTTGTTGTGTCATGTACAGCAACAAATTGTGGTTAACATTATCTATGGTTAATTTTAAAGCAAGAAGCGAACTAAGCCACAGTTACTGAAGCAGGATTATTTAAACTAGCCACACTCAAGATTAACCTCAGTTCCAGGTCTGGACAACATGGCAAACTGTGATTAATAACAAGCAGAAACAAGACCTTCCAAACTCTTCCTTTCAGGGTGAAAGGGAAGCTGAGTGCATGACCCTGAGATTTCTTGCAGCTCAGTCTGGCTTTTCTGGCTTGTGCTAAGCTATGGTTTTGTGTGATGTGTTAAAGAAGTGTTTACATATAAGGTTTAGTCAGCAAACCTCTTAAGAAGACTGCAACAGTTCAGATCTAACACCAAACCAGGGTCTGGTACTATGTAAACTAGGCCTGCGGCGTGCTCTGGTCCATGGGGTCACGAAGAGTCGGACATGACTAAACGACTAAACAACAAAAAAACTAGGCCTGCACTCTGGTGCTCCCCTCATGCAATCTGATTTTCTTTCTCACTGACATTCTAGCACAAGTCATAGTTTGCCTGGCTTAGAGGTAACAGTAAACTATGGCTTCCACTAAATCAGAAGGGAGAAAAATCAGAATGCATGAGAGAAGAATGTGTGTGAGCAGAGAGCTTGCTCACACAGTGCCAAACAAAACACCCTACAAGGGTAGAGGCAGCACCGTTCACCATGATTCAAAATATTTAGAAAAAGCAATGCTAAACCTTTTGGTCAGACTACTGACCAGCCAATTAGTGACCATGGAAAGGTGCCTTTTTTGAAATAAATAATCAACCACTTGATTGTAAAAAGCCTCAAAAAGATACAAGAAGTAAATCAAGAAAAATTTACAACCTTACTTTAAAACATACAAATGTTAAAATACAAAAACAGATTAAAATCACCTCAACTTCCTAAGCATCTGGGTAGGCTTGTCTAAATAAGAATGTCTTTAGCAGGCAACAAAAAGAGTACAGTGAAGGCATCTGCTTTATCTCAATAGGCAGGGAGATCCAAACTGTAGGTGCTGTCACACTAAACCACTGAGTGTTTACAAATGTGGAATGGGTATTATGTGGCACCTGTAGTAGTGCCAATTCCATTTCTGTTATGTGTACTTAAAATACACGCCCCAATCCCTAATACTTCCTAAATGTGTCCCCACATACTGAGCAAGTTGTATATCTCTAATCTAATTCCACAGTATAAAAATATACACATGGCTTTAAGTGGCAGCAATTTTTAATCACTCGAAGGAACTATACTAATGCAAGCAGTTCAATTTGTTTTTTAACCACAAAGACAAGAGGAAAAGTTTGAGAGTTATCTGTCTGCACACAATGACTATGCTATGTCAGAATTAGAAAGGGAGCTGCAATCAAGAGGTTTTTTTGATAAGCGTATAGGAAAGGAATTCAATCAGAACAAAAGGAAAGGTGGGAAGACTGGGAAAAGCAGGATATTTCAGGCAATCACATTAAAATGACTCAAGAGGATACTTAATACTGAAAATACCTCGTCATCCTTCAGAATAAGAACCTAATAGTGGAATTACAGAGATTTCAAAAATATATCTGCTGTTATAAACTGGCAAGTAGCTGGTTCTTTAGCTAAAAATACTAAATCAACAGGACTAGAAACAGACCAATGTGCTACTTTGTTCCTGAGACACAGCAATTCAACTATTCATTCAGTTGTTATTTGAGGACAAGGTCAAAAATTACTATAAGAAACACTGAGCACTGAATGCATTTTAAAAACATTCTTAAGCTATATAGTCCTAAAACATGATTAATGGTAACATAAGCAAAACAACTGCACTTGCTTCCAAGTAAAAATTTAAAGGTTTAGGTGCCAGGATGGATCAATTCTCTCTCCTTTAAATATACATTCTTCTATCTGAACTAGGCTCAAGGAGATGCAGTTGCATTACATGAGAATACCAGATCTTTTACAAGACAAATGTCAATTTACCAATACTCCTGGGCTTTCAAGCACAGAATCCTAAGCTATTCTTATACAAAGAATAGTTGAAATATTACTATTTATTCCCTTGGCTCAACACATCCTAGCACCCCAGTTTTACCTACTCAAGTGGTAAGAGTAAGAAAAAATGCTTAACCTTTGCAGAACACGTACCTTCTTTGAGACAAAAGAACCTCAGCAACAGGCATACACTCAGAACTATCACAGAAAATGTTACCTCCAAGGATTCTTGAAGCCATAAATATAAGAACAAAAGCAGATGCAAATATATCACTGGCTTTGAATTTCCTCCTTCATTGTCAGCTCTCAGCATGGAACAAGAGCATCTCCAACAGCTCCTAGCAAAGCAGTTACATCGCTCGGGAGCATAGGGAAAATCAGCTCTCAGTGAAGCTGTCTACTCATTCTATTATATAAAATGCTCTCACAGAGGAACACACACTAACATTTCTCTCTAAGAATGTGAATAGTGGTAAGAAGCCAGGAACAAGGCTTCGGTCCACACTGGGGGGGGCGGGGGGGGGGAGACTAGCTATTTACTGCCACATCCTGAAAATCTGCTACTGGCAATATTTTCAGACCTCACTAAAAGAACAAACTTGAATGCTTGAGACCAGAACTCTCTGCAACTGAACACTCAGATGCAGATGAATCTAAAAGCCCTTTCAGGATCAAATTAATTTCCTACTGAATATAATTAACCAGCCTTACAAAAAAAACCAAAAACCCCTCCTCAGCTAATGGTATGCATAATCTGAGTCCTTGCTAAGATTTCTCCAGCACCATGTACAATTAAAACCTCATGGCTGTTCCACTGATCAAAATTATTTTGACTTGCATCACAAGGGAACATTTCTGCTTGTATCACCGACTGATTCACATGATTACTTATATGTGAATACTCATTTAAACAAGGGCTGAGTAGTAATTTTGAACTGAATGATCATTTGGAGAACTGCCTTTGCAAAATAATTCTGATGGTCAGACTATATGGGTGTCAATACTGGGGGTGTAGAAAGCTATAATTTGACACAGGGCCGGAATCAGAACTACAGCTACAAAAATATACTTCAAACTTCTCAAAACATCCAAGAGAACTTTTATTCAATTAGCTTTAGACCAACAACACTGTAAGCCCCAGTTTCCTGTCCTGTTATTAGAATTAATGGTTTAAGATATCTGATATAGCAGGCAGTCTTTACTAACTTCTAATTATCTGAACACGATCCAGTTCTCAAAAACAGAGTCATCCATAAGGATAAAATGCTGACCTAGCTTTGAGTCTAGGGCTGAGTCCCTGCAATTTAATCAGTCACTAAAAGTAAAGAGATAATGTCTAGTAAACTGGGCACCCATCACTTGCCTTTCAGCTGTGCACATTCTAACTTACTTCAGAACTGCCTGCATAAAAATATTATTTGGTGATGCCTCCAAACAGGGACAAGACGTAAGATGGAAAATATTGTACGGAAATAATCTGAGGCATTCATGGTTTGGAAGTCTTCTGCTGTCTGATTATTAGGGAAGGTCAAAACCGGGGTAAGGTAAAGGAGTTCCACCATGACCATTCCCTATCCTGAAACGGGAGAAAGATGGTGTCCTAACATGTTATGTAGCTCATCACAAAGCTACAGAATAAATTTCTCCCAATAAAATAATTTAAAAAGAATTCTCAAGAAAAAAAATCATTGCTTTCAACTAGCCAACCCCATCTCTCCTTCAAGAAAGCACAAAGGTGAGGGGGTATCTGTGACTTTACCAGGAGGTTCAAGACTTCCAGACTATTAACTGTATTCTTACCAAGAATTTTGATGTTTTGTTTTATATTTTTGTAAACCCCTTAGAGGTTGTCTTGCAGTCAAGTGGTACCTACATTTGCTTTAAAAAAAATAAAGAAATAAAAATAAGGCCCTGAGGTGTCTCAATAATATGGAAGGAAAAGAGTCTGAAAAAATAAAGGAATGTTACGAAAGAGTTTCCCAGGAGTTTGCAATCTCTATAAGAAAATGTTCTCTCCTTTTTCTTTCCATCTTGAATGACTTTTAAGAAAAAGGTATTTTGATGGAGCCATATGCCCTCAACCAATGTTAGGCATAGTGAAAGGAGAAGGGTCCTTGTTTCTCAAGATACACCTTGTTCTACCTTCTTCTCCAGTATCACCAACCATCTTCAAGAGCTGAATTTAATTATCATCATCTTGATAAAGTCTTGCTAAAAAAAAACACAGTTTGAACACACATTAACAAACTGGAAATTCCATTACCCTTCATAGGATTAAGTAATTAGGATGACTGCACATGTCAGAAATATGCCATTCCTCAGAAACCTGGGAGATGTCCCAGGAGAGCAACATGGACAAGAAAGAGAAACACTGAGACATATCCCACAATCCTACCTATCAAAAATAACTAGAGAAGCTGGGGGCTGCTTTGAATGTTGCACTTTTTCTACACAAAAAGCACAGAGAAAGGGAAAAGAGAAGGGTGTGTGTGGAAACCAAGAATAGATGCCTATTTTCCCCCTCCAAGACAAAAGACAGACTTTTGAAGTCCAGGGAGGAGATAATGCACACAATGAGAAGTCAAAATTATGCCCCATTTTTACTTACAGAGTTTGGAGGCATGCACAACAGGACAGCAGGCACCATTTCTCAGCCTCAGTAGTGCATTAAGGGAAAAGTCACTTTCCCCTTATGCCATCTTCTCAACTTATCCAAATGCCTTTAAAACCAGGATAATCTCCACATCCCAAAGAACTGAGCTGAGGAAAGCTGGTGGCACTTATTTACTCAGAAGTTTTCCTATCTGCCTAGGACAGGTTACAACAATATTACAGTAAGACAATATTAAAACAAAACAGGTCAATAACAAAAATCAAAATCAAATATACAGGTATGGTCCTGCAAATATCACAAAAATCAAAACTGTAAGAGGCCAACATAAAGAGGAATGTCTTCAGCATACAGAAGAAGCTGTATGTTGAGGATGCTAGAAGCTTGGAATGGGGTTTTCAGAATATAGGGGGTGCCATGGAGTGTTCTCTACCATCCCCAATACTTCAGAGGGCAGCAGAACTGCCAAGAGAGCACCCTCTGCCAATCTTAATAGCTGAGGATTATTAGGAAAGGAAGCAGTCTTTCAGATATTTGGGGCCTAAGACATTTAAGGCTTTCAAACACCAACATGAGCATCTTGAACTGGACCCAGAAAATATCTGGCAACCAGTGCAGTGGTTTCAAATCAGGGGTGATTTGAGTTCTAAATGGAACACCGGCGAGTATCCTGGCTGCTGTGCTTTGGACCAACTGAAGTTTCCAAGCTGTCTTCAAGGGCGGCCCCACAGTGTGCATGGCAATAATTCAATCTGGAGTTTATCAGAGCATACAGTGCAGAAACAGCCATTTGCCACCCCAGCCATCCACCTCAGATCATGCTTCGAGGAGGCAGAACCACCCAACCGAAATCAGCAGGAAGACTACCACTGGTCCCTGTCCAAGAGTAACTCAGGGATGAAGATGCTGGCAAGAATTTCTCTTTGCGTCTCTCTTCCCTGAGCCTCGTAGTTTTCCCCACCCCACCCCACAAGGCAACACTAGGGCTTCCCTCCAGGCAAAACAGCAGAAATGTCTATCAGCCACTGGGGGTGGTCAAAGACAGACGAATACTTGTTTGCTGGTGTGACTGACTCCACCTTAGGTTTTATTCTAGGGGCACCCCATGTGCCCTTCCCCAAACTCAAGCTCCTTCCCCTCCCCTTGCCACAATACCCCCCTTTTCAGCTCAGCCTGCGCCTCCATCGCCAGGGCCCTCCGCATGCGTGCTTCTAAGCCCCATCCCCGCCCCTCTGAACACTGGAGCAGTTTGTGGAAGGGACCCCCATCATCATCATCCCCCCCCCAGCCAGGGATGCAGGGAAGCATCTTTCCCCCTGCAAATACGCAGGTAGGGGCAGAGCCTCTTTATCCATGTCAAGTTTGCCAACCCCAAACTAAATGGCTGAGAAAGAGGGGGGGAATGGGGGGGGGGAGATAGATGATGACTCTTGTATTATTCCTCCGCCACATACCTAAGGAAAAAAAGATCTTTTTTTGCCTTTTGGCTTCCCACTCACACCCCCCCGACCCTCCCCGAAATTCCGCTACCTCAACGGGGGTGGGAGACATGTATTGGTGGGGGACGGAGCAGGAGGAAGAAGGGGCGTCTCTCATTCTCTCCCCCCACCCCACCTCCTCGCAGGCAAGGGTCTTTTCTTCGCACCGCACCCCTCCCCGCGCAATGTGTGCTTGTGCAGTGGGGAGGGAGGGGATTCCTCCATTTCCGAAAGAAAAGGAGGGAGAGAGAGAGAGAAAGGAGGGGAGGTTCTTTCTCCCCTCCCCCTTTCCCCCCATTCCACGCCTGAGGTAAACTGCGGTGGTGGGGGGCGTGGGGGGGTTTCGCCCCTGCCCCCTCGGGATGAGGCAGGATCGGGGGAGGGGCGCCTCCGCCGCCGCCGCCGCCTCATTGTTCGTTCCCCTCCGTGGGGACCGGGGCGGGGTGCGGAGGGCGGCGGGGAAGGCGAGGCAGGCGAGCGGGGTCTGGGCGGGGAGGCTCCCGGCGGAGGCACCTACCAGCTCGGCGGCGGCGGCAGCAGCAGCAGCGGGTCCTGGCCGGGCTCTCGGGGCGGGGCGGAGAAGGACCCGAGGCGGCAGCGGGAGGAGAAGGAGGCGGCGCCATGTTCCCCTCCTTCCTTCCTTCCTCTCTCCCTCTCCTTTCCTTCCTTCCTCCCTTCCTTTCCTTCCCCCGGCGCGGTGAGAGGAGGAGGAGGAGGAGGGTATCGGTGGGTGGGGTGAAGCGAGGGAAGAAAAGCGGCCTTGTAATGGCGGCGGCTGAGGCGGCTTCTTTTCCCCCTCACAAGGAGCAGTAGCGGCGGCGGCGGCGGCGGCAGTGGCACCATCGACCGAAAGAGAGAGAGAGACAGGGCGCGAGACCGCCTGTGTGTGTGTGTGTTGCGCGTGCGCGCGCCGAGCCCAGCGAGCAAGCGGGGCGGGAGGGGGGGAAGACAGGAGGAGGAGGAGGAGGAGAAGCTGCTGTTGCGGCTGGCGGCGTGCGCGCGCCGGCGGAGGGGAGAGAAGTGGGCGGGGCGGGCTGCGGCGCGAGGGGGGAGAAGTGGGCGGGGCTCCGGAACCTCTATTCAGAGAGAGAGAGAGGGAGAGTGCGCGCGCGCATGCAGGCATGCGAGGCAGGTTTGCATGCACAGAAGCGATACAGGACTTTGCAGAGGGGCGCGCGGGCGCGCGGGTCACCTCCTCCTCCTCCTCCTCCTCCTCCTCCCCGCTGCTGGGGGGGCTTTTGCGCACGCAGGGGCGTTCCACCGGCTAAGGCTTTTTCCTTTTTTTTTGCATGCATGCAAGGGAAGAGGAGGAGGAGGAGAGGCGGGGCGGGGCGGCTAACGGGGAGAAGCGCTTGCTGCAAGAGGCTGGCACGCGAGCCCGAGCTTGTAGCCAAGATCGTGGGGGGAGGGGGAAGGCGGGGTTGCAAAGGAACCCACCCCACCCGCGCACGCCCCTGGCGGAAAATGCAGCGCAGCCCTCTGGCACGGGGCGAAGGGAAGGAGCGCGACGCTTGCAGCGTGTGCCCGGCACTGCCAGGCGCGGCGATGCCTCTTGGGGAGGCGTCCCTAGGATCGCGGTGTCTCTGCCTTTGCGCGCCTTTGAACCCCGCCGGCGCGCGCGCGCACCCTCCCTGCCAAATGTTGTCGCCCAGGCAGATGCGGGCGATCCCTCGCAGCAGCGCGCATCCTGGAGCAGGGTGCGCCTCGGATAGCGAAGGGCCACCGAAAGTGCTGCAGCTGCTGCGGACGGTTTGCAAACCAAATGCAAGGATCCGGAAGTCGGGGGTTCGTGCCGCTCTCCCCCCCCCCCCTTAAGGATGTGATACATGAGCAACAACAACCACCAGCAATAAAACAGAAGCATCCACTGTATTCTAGATTAGGGGGTCAGCAGCTGGAGGACAAGCTTTGGCGGGGGGGGGCAGATGACGTAGCGAGGGGAGGCAGTTAGCCGGTCCTGCTCTAGGCCAAAGCAACTTCCCCTGGTCAGTTCTGGCTTGGGCTGATGGGAGTTGGAGTCCAAAAGAGCTGGAGGGCACCAAGTCTGGGCAAAATGATAGTGGCAGAAGTTATCTGTGACACAGAAGCATCCCAGAAAACTTCTTTTGGAGGGGTGGGGAGCAAACTTTTTGTTGCATTTATTACATTTACATTGAAGGGACGTCCAACTCCCAATAGACTGCAATCTACTCACAGTATTAAAAAAAAAAAACTAAATAAAAAAATTCCTTCCAGTAGCACCTTAGAGACCAACTAAGTTAGTTATTGGAATGAGCTTTTGTGTGCATGCACACTTCTTACCTGTAACTAGAACTATGGACGGCTGCTACCTGTGTATAAAAAAATTGGTGATCTACCCATTATCGTAAAAAGACTGGGAGTGATCTACCCAAAGTTGTGGAGGTTTTTGGTAGGAAGCCAAAGTTGGCTTCTTGGGTTTTTTTGTAAGGAGATCGCTGAGGGGCCGGAGATCTACCAGGAGCACCCTGATCTACCTGTTGGACAAGCCTGGCTTATTACATTGATTACATGCTCATACGTGATTTATGCAGGGTTGGAATAGAATCCCAGGTATCTTTTGGCCTAACTTCCTAAAATATACGCATGAAGAGCCTGACTGCTGGATCTAACCAGCAGCCCGTCTGGTTGAGCAACCTGTTCTCGCTGAGGCCAACTGGATGCCTGCAAGGGAAGCCTGTGAGCTTCCTATCAAGCCATCATACCCAATATTGTGATGGGCAAAAGCTCTCCAGGGTCCCAGGCAACATTCCCACCCTCCCGTTTAACTGGAAATGATGGCACCTTCAGCATGCAAGGCATATGTTCTGCATCTCAGGAGGAAAAAGTGGGATATAAATGTAATAATCAGTTGGGGAGGGAATTGTCATTATTACTGCCTTTTCCATTTTTGAAGAACAGTTCCCCCCTCCCCAACTGGAGTCTTATGATGCAATCCCATGCCTGTTTAAAAGGTTTAGGGGACCCCTGACCGTTAGGTCCAGTTGTGGACGACTCGGGTTGCAGTGCTCATCTCGCTTTACTGGCCAAGGGAGCCAGCGTACAGCTTCCGGGTCACGTGGCCAGCATGACTAAGCCACTTCTGGCGAACCAGAGCAGCGCACGGAAGCGCTGTTTACCTTCCCGCCGGAGCAGTACCTATTTATCTACTTGCACTTTGACGTGCTTTCAGGTTGGCAGGAGCAGGGACCGACCAACAGGAGCTCACCCCGTCGCGGGGATTCAAACCGCCGACCTTCTGATCGGCAAGCCCTAGGCTCTGTGGTTTAGACCACAGCACCACCCACGTCTTCTGTTTACTCAGAAGCAAATCCCACTGTGTTCACTGGGGCTTCACACACCCACCCCAGTAAGTGCATTTAGACTTAGGCTGCAATCCCTATGCCCGCCTACTAAGAAGTAAGCCCAACAGAATTCGTTTGGATTTACGTCTAAGAAGACACACATAAGCACTGTTAGCACAGTCCTATGCACATTTACTTGAGAGTAACCTTCACTGAACTGTGCGACTGACAAACCAACGTGCATATGATAAGGGTGTTAAATACAGTGGTACCTCGGGTTAAGTACTTAATTCATTCCGGAAGTCCGTACTTAACCTGAAACTGTTCTTAACCTGAGGTACCACTTTAGCTAATGGGGCCTGCTGCTGCTGCTGCTGCTGTGCGATTTCTGTTCTCATCCTGAAGCAAAGTACTTAACCTGAGGTACTATTTCTGGGTGAGCGGCGTCTATAACCTGAAGTGTCTGTAACCTGAGGTACCACTGTATTTATTTTCACAGAATTGTAGACTTGGAAGGGACCACAAGGGTCATCTCGTCCAGCCCCCTTGACATGCAGGAATCTGTGGGAATCTTTTGCCCAGCATGGAGCTCAAAGTCACAACCCTGAGATTAAAAGCCTCATGCTCCAAAACTGAATTACCTGGAGGTTTAAATTCTGTGCTTCTAGAAACTGATCCGCCCACTTAATCATTCACAATTTTTGTGACTTGATGAAAAGATCAAGGTATCAAAATTTCCGAAAGAACTCTTATTTAAAAACAAACTCTCGGCTGTGCAGTGTACCAAGATCCCTTTGTCTGCACTTAAAAACTGGCATTGGTTAGAAATCTGGCAGAACCTCACCCATCCATGACACAGCTTCCACAGCTTTTAGCGTTCTGGCGAGACAGCTGGGGCTAAAATCCTTTCTGCCACAACGAGCGCGGTAAATGTATCATAACTATTGATGTGGCTTCTTAATATAGATAACCCGCACGCTAATTGCATAATGCAGAGTCGCTTTGCCGTGTACAGAGTCTGCCCCTGGAAAATGATCACATCACACAGACCAGAAGCTAATGTCAGCTCACATAAAGACCTTCTGGGGCTTAATGGGTAGCAAAGGTTTTCCAATGGCCTTCTTAAAAATAAGGGAATTCCAGATCAGAGTATAACGTGACCTGGTGACCACTGGCGTAAATGGCTTTACAACAAATTAATGCGGAGGTCTATTAATGGCTGTTTGTCATGATGGATAGATCAAGCCTCCACGTTCAGAGGCAGTCTACCCTACTTGCTGGTGGCATCTGTCTGGCTACTGTGAGAAGACGGCTGCTGAACTGGATGGACACCTGATCTGATGCAGCAAGGCAGATTATATGATAAATTAAATAAGTGGAGAAATTAACGGAGGAGCAGAGGCTATGTGGAGCCCTCCCACGGTAGCAGAGTGCATATTCTACGTGGTCCCAGGAGAGACAGTGTGGTGCAATGGTTAGAGTGCTAGACCAGGACCTGGGAGAATCCCGGCTCCGCCATGAAGCTCACTGACCTTGGGCCAGTCACCATCTCTTAGCCTAGCCTACCTCACCGGGTTGTCGCGGTGATGAAATGGGGAGGAGAAGAACCATGTACACCGCACCTTGAGCTCGTTGGTAGATAATGGTGGTATGGAAATTTATTTATTATTATTGATTTATTGAATTTATATACCGCCCCATACCTGGAGGTCTCAAGGCAGTTCACAGAACAAAATCGAAATATATATATATATTTTTAAATGATATTTATTAAAGTTTCAAAGAATACAAAAATAAAAATACAAGACAATACAAAATACAGAAAAAAAGAATAAAGTTTTTAAGATATAACAAAAAAATGAAGAATAAAAAGAAACATACAAAATAAAAACAGTTAAAAACACGTTAATTTTCCATAACAAATCTTCCTTACACTTATTTCCCCGGACCTCCTCATACCTCCCTTTTTTGTATTCCAGTTCAGTTTGTTAGTTCAGCAAATCCTTACCATTAAGCTTTTGCCCATTTGTAAACCTTTTTTCGTATCTCTTAAAGCATTACAGCTGGAAACCACTTAGTTTCTATCCAACATCCTTCTAAAATTCCTTAATTTTAATTTTACAATATTTCTGTACGAAATATAAAACCACAAAATATATCTTCTTTGGCGATCCCTCGTAGCCAAGTAAGATTGTCTTCCATAAACACGGTTTTAACAATGAGTCCCTAAGTGACTGTGGAGGCCAATTCTGGATCCACACATCCTTCCACAGTGGAGACATTGGTTCCCGGGCGGGAGTTGATCACGGTGTGGATTTGCCAAGCGTGCCTTCCTCTCAGCACGTTTCTCCCTTGCGTTCTGAGTTTGAGTGTCTTCAAAGTCCATGACACCTTTGGTAAAGGCTGTTCTCCAACTGGAGCGCTAGCAGGCCAGTGTTTCCAAGTTGTCGGTGTTTATACTACGTTTTTTAAGATTTGCCTTGAGACAGTCTTTAAACCTCTTTTTTTGACCACCAGCATTACGCTTTCCATTTTTAAATC